CACAATCAAATAAACTATGATATTTATGATGAACATTCAAATGTGGAAAGAAGAGTTCATGTAAACATGTTAAAGCCTTATGTTAGAAGGTCTGCTAATGTTTATTTTGTTGTTTCGGAAGAAGAATCCGGTCCCTTTTCTTTTTGGGAGGGTGATCGTGAACAATACAAAAATTTGGATCGGGTAGAAATAAACAGTGAATTGTCCCAACCACAGCGAAGAGAGGTTGTGGAAATTTTGAGTAAATATAAAGATATATTTTCAGATTTACCAGGAAAGGTCCAGGGAGTCCAGCATCAAATAAACACCGGTGATGTAGCTCCTATAGTATGTCCACCCTACAGGGTCACAGGGAGACCCAATGAATGTATTGAAAGGGAGATTAAAGAAATGTTGGACCTAGGTATCATTGTTCCATCGATTAGCTCTTGGGCTTCACCCATAGTATTAGTACAGAAGCCAGACAAGACAATTAGATTTTGTGTAGATTATAGGCAATTAAACAAGGTAACCCAAACAGATACTTATCCTATGCCATGTTTGAATGATTTGCTGGAAAGGATGGGGAAGGCCAATTTTATTAGTAGTATAGATCTAACCAAAGGATTTTGGCAAGTGCCCATGGCACCACAGGATCAACATAAAACCGCCTTCCGGACCCAAAATCGGCTATTTGAATTTTCCGTACTTCCATTTGGGTTAAAGAACAGCCCAGCCACATTTCAGAGATTAGTGGACAGAGTTTTAAGTGGGCTGGGGTCTTTCTGCGTGGCCTATATCGATGATATAGGGATTTTCAGTGATTCATGGGAAGCTCACCTTGAACATTTGGATCTGGTATTAAGTAGGTTGAGGGAAGCAGGGTTAACTATTAAAGCTTCCAAGTGCAAGTTAGGATACAATACTACCAAGTATTTAGGACATTTAGTGGGAGGAGGTTGTATTTGACCTGACCCTACTAAAGTGGCAGTTATTCACCAGTGGCCTGTGCCCAAAACAAAAAAACAGGTTAGGGCACTCCTTGGATTGGCTGGATACTATCGTAAATTCATTCCATCTTTTAGTGATTTGGCAGCCCCTCTTTCGGATCTTACCAAAAAGAAGAACCCGAATCAGGTAATTTGGACTCCAAATTGTCAAACTGCCATGGATCAATTGAAGAAAGCCATTACTTCGGATTCGGTCCTAATTGCGCCAGATTTTGATAAACCTTTTATTCTAACATGTGATGCATCGGATACTGGGCTAGGAGCTGTCCTAAGCCAGTTAGATGTAGAGGGTGAGGACAGACCTATTTTGTTTTTGAGTAAAAAATGGCATTCCAATGAATATAACATGTCAATGATTGAAAAAGAATGCTATGCCATCATATGGTCAGTAAAAAAATTAAAGCCATATTTGTGGGGGAGAAAGTTTACCTTACAAACGGACCATGCTCCATTAAGATGGCTAGATAATGTAAAAGGTACGAATAACAAATTATTGAGATGGAGTTTATGTTTACAGGATTTTACATTTGAAATTAAACATGCTTCAGGTAAACGAAACATAGTCGCAGACGCCTTATCTAGAATTTCGTATGGTAAAAGGTTTGTATATATGCATTATAATATATTTAACCATATTGTGATTGCCTTTCAGAAATATTGTGTATTTAGATATTGTTGGATAATTTGTGGAATTATTTTTGCCCATTCCGGGAGTGAGAATGGCCCAAAAATAATTTTTCTGTGGGGGAAGGTGTACAGGAGTTGATTATAAATTGTATGATTTTAACTGTATTTGTGTTTAGATTGGCTGCAGTAATGCTGGAGCGGCCTAAGTCAGAGGAGTCCTCCATGGGCGTTGCCATGGAGACCGATGCTGGAGAGAGGGAAGTGGGAGGAGCTTAGCGGGGAGAGTTTGAACAAACGACAGTTAAAAATCAGTTAGGGTTTAGGTTTAGGGGAGTGAGCAGTCAGGAGTTAGGTTTAGAGGAGTGAGGAGTTAGGAGTTGGGAGAGAAGGAAAGGAAAGGTGGGAGAGAAGGAAAGGAAAGAAAACAGTGTGCTGTTTCCCCCCGAGTATTACAGGTTCCACACATATGTGTCAGTTACAACTCTTTTTTTCGCCCCTCCCCTCCATTTCCACAGTTGACATTTCACCTCTCTTGCCTTAGGTTTGTTTCTTTGGAAAGCAATACCTGTCGCAAGGTGGGGCATTCGCAACAGTTAGTTGCAAACCCCCGTTAGGTAATCTTGATTGTGTCTGATGGAAACGTCTTGGGTAAACAGCATCTTGTGTACAGGGCCACTTGCTCAAGAGGCCAAATGTTACATTACCCTTTTGCACATGGGGTGTTTTGGAAATTTAACAAAAAAACAACCTTATCAGATAATGTTAGGTCAACCCACAGATTGAGTCAATACTGAAAAACTATTCTGATTTCTGGGTTGTTGGGAGCTTTCTGGGCTGTATGGCCATGTTCCAGAAGCATTCTCTCCTGACATTTCGCCCACATCTATGTGACAACTTCACAACCTCTGAAGATACCTGCCATAGATGTGGGTGAGACGTCAGGAGATAATGCTTCTGGAACGTGGCCATACAGCCCAGAAAACTCCCAGCAACCCAGTGATTCCAGCCATGAAAGCCTTCAACAACCCAGATTCTGATTGTGAAGCAAAACTTTGAGGCTTTGAAAAGCTGGGTTTGGCTATTGGAAGTTTCTCAGGCTAGTGCAGCCGNAATAATAAATAATAAATCGAAAGTTCTCTCTCCTGAAACCCCTTTTCTTTGAAGTGGGGCAACCCCTTTGCAGCTTCTCTTTGGATAGTTTGAAGGTACTCAAGCTATTTTAATGAGCATGTCACAGTTACTTTAATTGCCCTTTCCAGTGAAACTTTTGAATGTTCCACGTGTGCTTTTCTCATAGATCTGTCTATTTGTCCATCCATCTTTCTCTTCATAGAGCAGGGATTGATAAAGTGTGGATTGTGGCCTTCATTTGATCCTCTACCCCCTTTTTGTGCCTCCGAATCCTTCCCAACACAAAGGATGCAAAATAACTGCTGACAAAATTCAAGAGCACACATTCCCCCTTCGAAAAGATTCCTATCTCTCTTTCTCCCTCCCTCACTTTCTGTGTCTTGTTCCTGCTGGAAGTTGCAAGGCTAGTTGGGATACTGTTTTTAAGACCTTCTAAGCTCTTTGCAGACATAGCCCTTCATACTGCAGCTCTTGTCTTCTCATCCTTTGTGTTTTGACATGCAAGTTTGCTTTATATAAGCTTGCTTTGTCTTGAAGTGATTGCATTCCAGAGCAAAGTGTGCATTTTTTTCTCAAACTTTGTAGAAATTCATTTTTTGGTTCAGCTCTTGATAGACTGAATTGCAATAAAACTGCTATTGCTGTCACCAATATAAATCCAGACATTCCTCCCCTCCTTCTCTAACTGCACTATTTCTTCATACAGCCAGATAATACTGATATGACAGCAATGGATCATTGATTTCTTTGTTCATAAATACATAGATGATACTCCTTGGCTATATAAACTCTGATCTTAAGGAATCCCAGAGATAAAAGTTTATTGTCCATTGCAATTTGGTCTACAAATCCTTCTGGTTGGTCAGGATAAGGATTAATGTGTATATCAAAGATAATGGAATTCAGGTATACTGTTCCAACTGCAATCAAATACTTGATGCACTGGGACTTGTTTTATCTGTCTTTCCTGTCACGAAAACATCAATTGACAAATGGAATTCAGAAATTGGACTCTGCGTTACTGACGAAATGTAGACATTTCCTGACTTGTGCAATTTCCTGGCACTTTTTGAAGTGAAATACTTCAAACAGATGATGTTTGGTTGGCTAAAATGTGAGTCTAACTAGCCTGGTAAATTATATCTGTAGCTTGGAATGGAATCAAGACTGAGAGTTTTTCCTTCCAGAAGGTAATCTGTACTGCTACTAGGTTGCTGTGAGTTTTCCAGGCTGTATGACCATGTTGCAGAAGCATTATCTCCTGGCATTTTGCCCACATCTATGGCAGGCATCCTCAGAGGTTGTGAGGTCTGTTGGAAAGTAGGCAAGTGAGGTTTATATCTCTGTGGAATGTCCAGGTGAGCGAAATAACTCTTGTCTGCTTGAGGCAAGCGTGAATGTTGCATTTGGCCACCTTGATTAGCACTGAATGGACTTGCAGCTTCAAATCCTAGCTGATTCTGTCAGGGGATGGTCAAGGCAGCCAATTGCAACATTCACACTTGTCTCAAGCAGACGAGTTCTTTCGCTCACCTGGACATTACACAGATATATAAACCTCGCTTGCCTACTTTACAACAGACCTCACAATCTCTGAGTATGCCTGCCATAAATGTGGGTGAAATGTCAGGAGAGAATGCTTCTGGAACATGGCTATAGAGCCCAGAAAACTCACAGCAACCCAGTGATTCTGGCCATAAAAGCCTTCTACAACACATTGTACTGTTACTGTTTCATCTGGGTTATTCAGAGCTTTCTTTTGCTTCATGAATGCTCCAGTGTGAGATGCAAAGCAGTCTACTGAAATTACAAGTTTATAAATCAATCTGATAAAACGGGTCATAGTCATAGTCTGCCTTCATAATTAAGGAGACAAGCCTTGCAAAAACTAAACAACTTATTGACTTGGGTGGGAAAACCTTTAGCTGATGAAATGTTATTCGATTTGGAAAAAGATATATTTTCATACATGGCCTCAATCATTTAATAAGATATTTGTAATATCTGAGTGCCTTCACTCTTGTATATCATTGTTCGACCATTCTTTTCCCAGCCATATTGCTAATATTTAAAGGCATAGGAGCATTTTGGCTGTCAAAGAATTATGCCAGTTGATACAAAAAATAAGCTTTCTTATTGTTGTAGTAGTCATACTGTTCTTCTGAATTAACAAACAGCTTTTATTAAGGTGTTGAATTAGCTTTAATATTATTCTGTTTTTTCAGTGATTTAGTGTTCAAACGTTTCTTTTAGTTGCAGGAATTCAAATGCATCAAATTTCTGCTCTTGGACTCTCAACACAGCGATCAACTTTCATTACATGGAACAAGTATGTAGCATACATGATGGATATGCAGGTTGATCTTTTTTCTGCTTGTTGTAAATGTTGATGTTTTCTGAAAGATGTAGCATATAAGATTCTCTAATTGGCCTGAGAATATTAGTCATCTAGTCAGATGATGAACAACAGTAAAATATTTGAGTATTAATGTATGAAACAGTAACCAAAAAGAATCATTTTAGTTACCTATCCCAGATAAGTTATTAGCTTTAATGTAACCCAGTTAAATTATGCTGACATGGGAGTTTGGCAAATTGAAGGAACTGTAAATATTGAGACAGAATTATTGTTTCCCAAGAATCTTTCATATTTGTGGGTTGTCGTAGAGTAGTGTTTCTCAACCTTGGGGTCAGGATCCCTGGGGGCGGGGGGTCGCGAGGGGGTGTCAGAGGGGTCGCCAAAGACCATCAAAAAACACAGTATTTTCTGTTGGTCATGGGGGTGCTGTGTGGGAAGTTTGGCTCAATTCTTACGTTGGTGGGGTTCAGAATGCTATTTGATTATAGGTGAATTATAAATCCCAGCAACTACAACTCCAAATGTCAAGGTCTTTTTTTTCCAAACTCCATCAGTTTTCACATTTGAGCATATTGAGTATTCACACCAAATTTGGTTGAGATCCATCATTTTTTCAATCTACAGTGCTCTCTGGATGTTGGTGAACTACAACTCCAAAACTCAAGGTCAACACCCACCAAACAGTATTTTCTGTTGGAGTTTTGTGTGCAAGTTTCTTTTAGTTGCAGGAACAACTAAAAGAATTCCATTGTTGGTGGAGTTCAGAATGCTCTTTGATTGTAGGTGAACTATAAATCCCAACAACTACAACTCCCAAATGACAAAATCAATTCCCCCCCCCCCCCCCCAAAAACCCCACCAGTATTCAGATTTGGCCGTATTGGGTATTTGTGCCAAATTTGTTCCAGTGAATGAAAATACATCCTGCATATCAGATATTTACATGACAATTCATAACAGTACAAAATTACAGTTATGAAGTAGCAATAAAAATAATTTTATGGTTGGGAGCCCCCATGTCTGTCCCATTCCCCAAGGAGGAACCCTTGGTGGCGCAATGGGTTAAACCCTTGTACTGGCAGGACTGAAGACCGACAGGTCACAGGTTCGAATCCGGAGAGAATGCAGATGAGCTCCCTCTGTCAGCTCCGGCTCCCCATGCGGGGACATGAGAGAAGCCTCCCACAAGGATGGTAAAACATCAAAACATCCAGGCATCCCCTGGGCAACGTCCTTGCAGACAGCCAGTTCCCTTACACCAGAAGTGACTTGCCACTTCTCAAGTCACTCCTGACACACACACACACACACACAAAACAAACAAACCACAACACGAGGAACTGTATTAACGGGTCACGGCATTAGGAAAGTTGAGAACCACTGACTACCAAGACTCAGAAGAAGCCAAGACCACATTTTTAGATGACCTGAGATGTAAAATTGTCTGTCCATCCACATTTTCATTATAATGAAGACAACTGGTCATATAATCAAATTCAAAGTAGTCAAAGTGCATTTTATGATTCTATACTACCAGTGGTTCTCAACCTGTGGGTCCCCAGAAGCTGGTAAACTGGCTGGGATTTCTGGAAGTTGTAGGCCAAAAACACCTGGGGACCCGCAGGTTGAGAACTATTGGTCTACACTGATGATATAATGCAGTTCAATCTGCATTATAATGGGGCCTCAGTTTTCCTTCAACTGAATTCCCTAGAATTTTTAATTAATTCATAAGTTCATCTAAGAGCATGGATTTCTTGGGTAACAAGGAAGACATTGTTTCTTTTGCAATGTGATATAACAACAGTCAAGGCTGGCAAGGGTTTAACTACTTTGTTTTTTGTTGCAGCACATAATGAGTATCCACTGTTTCTTTCTTGGAAAGGGGAAGGAGGAAAGCTCCTCCTTAACTCTGGGTGGAGGAAGTGTTCTTTATTTCTCTTTTTACATTTTAAAACAGTTAGTACGTAAATTGACCAGAATACCTAAACTGAATTGTCACTAAAAAGACTTTTCTTTACAAATAAGCAGTGCAACATCTACGCTGCAGACTGAAGGCTAGATGGCCATCTGTCGGGGGTGCTTTGAATGTGATTTTCCTGCATCTTGGCAGGGGGTTGGACTGGATGGCCCATGAGGACTTTTCCAACTTATGGATTCTATGATTCTATGAAATTGAAGTAAAATGTATGCTGCTACATAAACTTCACAATTACCATTCATATTAAGGATATGAATATGGCTGTTTCTTTGTCTCCCAGTGAATAAATTTTCTAATTACAATCTCAACCATTATAGATTTTTTGGGGAAAAATAGATTAATAAACTGTATCTTTAGATGACTTTTGGCAATACATAGTAGACTAAGAGCAGTCTGACTCAAACACCCAACTCTTTAGGAGCTTTTATAGGTACAGTTATACTGCTCAAATCAACTGCAGTTCTCTTTGAAGTGACCATGTAAATAGCCCTGCTTCCTGAACTGACTAAGTGTCAAGTAGTGGAACAGGTTCTTCTATAGAAATCCTGATTGCCTAACATGAAGATTCATGTTTGTTATTTCAGTGGAGCTTTGTTGGTTTGATGTGCTTTATGTTCTTAACTGAGAAAATAAGCAGCATAGGCTGCTTTTTCTTTCTTTCTTTATATATGTAAACTCTGCATAGCAGTAAAGTATTTTCATAGGTAAATTTGTGGGTGCATATAGCTTCCAAGTCTTCTGTTAACTTATAGAATCATAGAGTTGAAGAGAATCAAAGAAGGAGCCTCCACCACACTCTGAGGCAGATAGTTCCACTGCTGAACAGTTCTCACAGTTGTGAAGTTCTTCCTTATGTTCAGCTAGAATCTCCTTTCTTGTAGTTTGAAGCCATTGTTCTGCATCCTAGTCTCCAGAGCAGCAGAAAACAAGCTTGCTCCCTCCTCCCTATGACTTACCCTCACATATTGATATATGGCCCTCATCATGTCTTGTCTCAGCCTTCTCTTCTGCAGGCTAAACATGACCGGCTCTTTAAGCCACTCCTCATAGGACTTATTCTCCAGACCCTTTATCATTGTAGTCACCCTCCTCTGGACGCATTCCAGCTTTTCAACATCTCCTTTCAATTACGGAGCCCCGAATTGGATACAGTATTCCAGGTGTGGTCTGACCAAGGCAGAATAGAGGGGTTGCATGACTTCCCTGGATCTAGACATTATATTCCTATTTATGCAGGCCAAAATCCCATTGCTTTTTTGCCGTCATGAGGACTCCAAGATCTTTTTCACATGTACTGCTGTTGAGCCAGGAGTCCCCCTTTCTGTATCATTGCATTTCATCTTTTCTGCCTAAGTGGAGTGTCTTGCATTTATCACTGTTGAACTTCATTTTTTTAGTTTTGGCTCATCTCTCTAATCTGTTACATCGTTTTGAATTCTGCTCCATTATGGCATGAATTTCACAGGGTTTTCTTAGGCAAGGAGTTCTCAGAGGTGCTTTTTGCCTCTTACTTCCTCTGAAATTGAACAGCATTTTAAATATAGAACAGAAAACAATATAATCTAATGCAACAAAATAATGTGGGAAGAAGTAAAATCAAAAATTGAAAAAATTAAAATTAAACCCTGACTGCATGAGTTATTTAAAAGGCCTGAGTGAACAGAATGGTCTTCATATCATACTAAAAGGACTATAGAAATAGTCCTGAATAAACTTCTCTCCCTGTTCCTATTCCAAAATAAGAGTGGAAGTTATCAGCTTTACGTAACACTGAATAGTATTTTAAAACTTGGGTAGGTACATATGAGAGAGATTGTTCTTTTAGGCAACCTGCCCTCAATCAATTTGAAGCTTTAAAGCAGGCATCCTTTAACTGCAGCCCTCCAGCTGTTTCGGCCTCCAACTCCCAAAATCCCAGACCATTTAATAAGCTAGCTAGGACTTCTGGGAGTTGGAGGCCAGAACAGCTGGAGAGCCACAGTTGGAGGATGCCTTCTTTAAAGTTTAAATTCAGAACTCAGACCTTGAAATAGGGTAGTGAGCACAGCTGACCAAACACAAATAATTCATTAAAACTGCCACTTCCAGTTAATAACCAGTAGTCCTATCTAGAACTAACTGCAGTTTAAAGGCAGCTAAATGGCAGGCTGCCGCGTTGTTTTGGCCAACAGTCCCTACGTAGGTGATATCACATCTCAAAAATGCAAAAAGTCACCTTGAGCAATCGGCATTACATGCACCTCTAATGACAGTGTAGGATCCACAAGCATCCCTTAAATGCAAACCTCACACATTATGACAGGGTGCACAGTGTGTGACTGTAGACCAGGCATGGGCAAACTTTGGCCTTCCAGGTATTTTGGACTTCAACTCTCACAGTTGTAAGTGTTGAAGTCCAAAACACCTGGAGGGCCAAAGTTTGCTAATGCCTGCCATAGAGGCTGCATATTGTAGGCTGGATGATCCCCATTGAGCTGTAGTGGAAAGAATCAAGTTACAGTGATTCAGACAGAAGTTTTCTTCAGAAGCATGTGTTCATTGATGAGAGTTCAGAAATCATATCAAGCTGTTTAAACTTGAAATGCAAAGCAACAAAGCTGTGCTTCACTTGTTGCCTGAAGCTCTATTGAAGTAAGAGACCCAGTTTCATTCAAGAGGGATAGAAGTTGGTAAATATGAGCTGGGACTCAGATGACAATTGGAACGGCTCCTGGCATATGTTTTCGGATTCTGTGATTTTAACTACGGCAATTGTTTTTATTGAGATGTTTTAATTATATGATTTTAAGGTATATGTTGTTTTAATGTTGATATGTGTTCAAGGCGTCAAATTGTGCTTTGTTGTGAGCCACCCTGAGTCCCCTTCTGTAAGAAGGACAGGATATAAATAATAAATAAATAAATAAATAAATAAATAAATAAATAAATAAATAAAAGTGATGTCAAACTGCATTTTTTCTGCATTGTTAGATGCACCCTGTGATAGTGCTATGAATTTGTTTGCTGGGGTTTCACCAAATTAATATTCTGACGTGGCATCCATTACGCCTTCAGTCCTAATTTCTTTAAAATGGGGCAATTACACTATTCTGGTGTAGAGATCAATACATCTAGTACACCTTCCATCTATTGTAAAATTCAAAGGCATAGCCATGTTAATTTGAAATATCAGTATGCGCCTTATGAAGTTGACAGCTTACGTTTTGGTAGACTACTTCATAGAATCATAGAGTTGGAAGAGACCTCCTGGGCCATTCAGTCCAACCCCCTGCCAAGAATTAGGAAAATCACATTCAAAGCATCCCTGACAGCTGGCCATCCAGTCTCTACTTAAAAGTCTCCAAAGAAGAAGCCTCCACCACACTCCGGGGCATAAAGTTCCACTGCTGAACAGCGCTCACAGTTAAGAAGTTCTTCCTCATGTTCAAGTGGAATCTCCTTTCCTGTACATTATTAGGAAGAACATCCTGACTATGAGCACTGTTCAGCAGTGGAACTCTCTGTCCCTGAGTGTGGTGGAGGCTCATTCTTTTGGAGGCATTTCTTCTCAGATGCCAGATCCCTTTGACTTCCTCAGATGCTAGGTCCCTTTGGCTCAATACTGTAAGGTTCGGTATCTCTTTGCTATTTCAGGAAGACGGGAAAACCTTTTCATAACTTCATCAGTTGGCAAGATGTGAGAGCTGGGGAACTTACTAAATCCTGGAACAGATCTTTTTTAATGAAAGTAAGTTATATTTTGAAAAACTCAGGAGGGGTGAAAGTATGTGTGTGGGTGCGTACAGTTGCTTGAAACAACCATTGTAATTTATCGCAGTCTTCCAAATAAGCATGTTAAGTATGCCCAGCACAATAATTTACTACTATTGCTCCTTTTTAAAAATGAACATTGGATGATATATACAAGGTATGGGCAAACTTGGTCCTCCAGGTGTTTTGGACTTCAGCTCCCAGAATTCCTAACAGCCAAGGGCCTGAGGCTGTTCGGAATTCTGGGAGTTGAAGTCCAAAACACCTGGAGGACCGAAGTTTATCAACTTTGCTTCTCAGTGATTTGTGTAAAAAATAGCTGCTTGACCAATTTTCTGAACAGCAAAACATCTTTGAGTGTAGTGTGGCAAATAATTGCTTTGAGGGCCTAAGTTGCCTACAGATTCCTTGAAAAGTGTTCCATATGCTTTTTGCCAATCCAATGCTTCTATTTAGCTAGGTTACTTTGTCGATTGCATCTGCGGTTATCATACTTGTTTTTGAAATGAATCCCTGTGGAAGAGTAATCCAAATATGTATCCAACTAATGTCTCTTTTTTTTGGGAACAGACAGTTCGTGGCATTTCTTCTCTGCTGCACTTTTTCACACGGAGCAATCAGTTTTTGTTAGCAAGTTATTTATCTTTTACAACACAGCACATCTCTTTAAGACTGGCTTGGATTTTGCAACATATAACTGAGGTAAGACTCGGTAGTATCTGTACTTGGATACTTTTTAGTTTATTCTTTGTTTTAATGCGTTGTGAATTGCCTTGGGCCCCATTCCAGGAAATGGAAGATTATTAACTAATTAACTATGCCTCTATTGAGCTTTTCATTTGCATATTTATTCTGTCAAAGAGTTCTCTTGGCATAATTAGCATATATGCAAAGTGCATCTTGCTTAAATGCATGGATTTTAAAGCATATTTACCTGTCAAATGTGACAACCAATTACGTTATTAGCATTCAAGTATTGGCTTGCTTGTTTAGTCTCGTTGCCAATTTCAATATGCTCAAAAATGTCTTTTCTATAAAGCCTTAAACGGTTCAAGCCCAGACTATTTGCAGTACTGCATCTACGTATACAAACCTGCCTGAGCTTTGCGATCCGTGGAACCCATGCTCTTGTCTCCAGCCCAGTCTCAAGCACAACTGGTGGGAACGAGAGAAGGGACCTTCTCTGTGATCGCTCCCCGCCTCTGGAATTTCCTTCCAAAATAATTTAAAAAGTGCTCCCTCTCTCCTCGCTTTTAAAAAACTGCTGAAAACCCACCTGTGCACTTTGGCATATGGAGAGGAGGAAAACTAATATGCCTGACTTATACTTTCGCCTGGATATGTTAAATTTTGTCTAGAGACTGGAAGTGACTTCAGCTCACTGGTTGTTGCATAACATGTCATCCTTTTATAATGGTTTTAGCTATTGTTCTTAGTTGCCTTTACAGTAGAGCAGTGATTCTCAACCTGTGGGTTTCCAGATGTTTTGGCCTTCAACTCCCAGAAATCTTAACGGCTGGTAAACTGGCTGGGATTTCTGGGAGTTGTAGGCTAAAACACCTGGGGATTCATAGGTTGAGAACCATTGCAGTAGCGTCTCACTTATCTAACTAACCTTCGCTTATCCAACATTCTGTATTATCCAACGTGTCTTGGCTGCTTCTGGCTTGGAAGAATAAAAACAAGGCTCTTCCTCAGAGAATTGCAATGAGGCTCACCTTCCTTCCTCTCTTCCTTCTCTGGCTTCTCTGCTCTGGACTCTGCTTCCCTCCTTGCTGTCTCTCTTCTTCCTAGGGCCTTGCATTCAGCCCAGGTGAGGCTTCGAGGAAGCAGCCTCCGCGCGGGTAAAGGGGGAGACCTGCGAAGGCTGTGCAGTGCCTTGGCTGCTCCACTGGCCTTGCTCTCCGGCACTCTCGACCTCGGCATCCATCCTGACCCCCACCAGTCCCGGCCCATCTCTCTCTCTCTCTCTCCAGCAATGGAAATGTTTTCTTTATGGAAGATGGAGGGAAAGAAATAAAGAAAGGCCTCACTCTCTGGCACTCTTGACCTCAGTGCCCATCCTTGTCTAGCCCCCCTCCCTGCAGCCCCAGCCCGGCTCCCCCCCCCTCTCTCCCCCTCCCTCTCTCGCAGGCAGCTGAAATGTTTGCTTTATCGAAGAGGGAGGGAGGGAAGGAAGGGAGGGAGGGAAGGAAGGAAAGAAGGAAAGAAGGAAAGAGAGAGGGGGAGAGAGTGGGCACCAAAGGCAGGATGCAAACCCTGTCTTTGCTTGTGTTTAATAGACTTTGCCTTAATCCCTCCATATTATCTGAGATTTTCACTTATCCAACTTTCTGGCAGCCTGTTTATGTCGGATAAGCAAGACTCTACTGTATTTAGTGATAAAATTATATTAATTATTATACCCATATAAGTTATTTAAGATTTTATTGCTGCTTATTTTGTTTGTTATTAAGTTTTAGAGTTAGGTCGCTTTTATATTGTTCAATGTGGTTTATCCTGATGTAATTCTGCTTTGAATGTTTTTCCCTTTTTGGCATTGAATGTTTGCCATGCATGTTGGAAACCACCCCGGGTCCTTTTGGGGAGATAGGGCAGCCTACAAATAAAGTTTTATATTATTATTATTGTTATTAATATTGTTTGCTCCAGCAAAGGATCACCGCCTTGTCGGGGCGCTGGAGCTTGAGCACCTCAATGATGTCATGAGCGAAACCGTGAAGGGCCACCCAAGACGGGACGGTTGTGGCAGAGAGGTCAGACCAAGCGTGATCCCTGGGGAAGGCAATGGCAAACCACTCCAGTATCCTTGCCAAGAAGACTAAATGGACCAGTACAACCAGAGATATGTCGGTATGCCATTGGAAGATGGGACTCCCAGGTCGGAAGATGGCCAAAATGCTACTGGGGAGGAGCAGAGGATAAGTTCAACTAGCCCCAGATGTGATGACGCAGCTAGCTCAAAGCCGAAAGAAGGCTAGCGGCCGACGGTACTGGAGGTGAACGACGAATCCGATGCTCTAAAGATCAACACGCCATAGGAACCTGGAATGTAAGATCTATGAGCCAGGGCAAATTGGATGTTGTTATTGGTGAGATGTCAAGACTAAAGATAGACATTCTGGGGGTCAGCGAACTGAAATGGACTGGAATGGGCCACTTCACATCAGATGACCACCAGATCTACTACTGCGGACAAGAGGAACATCGAAGAAATGGAGTTGCCTTCATAATTAATAAGAAATTCGCTAAAGCGGTGCTTGGATACAACCCAAAAAATGACAGAATGATCTCAATTCGAGTGCAAGGAAAGCCTTTCAACATAACAGTGATCCAAATATACGCCCCAACCACAGCTGCTGAAGAAGCAGAAGTAGATCAGTTCTATGAGGATCTGCAGGACCTACTGGATAATACACCAAAAAGAGACATTATTTTCATTACAGGAGACTGGAATGCCAAGGTGGGAAGTCAAATGACAACGGGATCACAGGCAAGCATGGTCTGGGAGAACAAAATGAAGCAGGACGCAGGCTGATAGAATTTTGCCAGGAAAACTCGCTGTGTATAACGAATACTCTCTTCCAACAACCTAAAAGATGGCTTTATACATGGACCTCGAAATCAGATTGACTACATCCTTTGCAGCCAAAGGTGGCGGACATCCATCCAGTCGGTGAAAACAAGACCTGGGGCTGACTGTAGCTCAGATCACGAACTTCTTATTGCCAAATTTAGAATAAAACTAAAGAGATCAGGGAAAATACACAGACCAGTTAGATATGATCTCACTAACATTCCTAGCGAATATACAGTGGAAGTGAAGAACAGATTTGAAGGACTAGATTTAGTAAACAGAGTCCCAGAAGAACTATGGACAGAAGTCCGCGACATTGTTAAGGAGGCGGCAACAAAGTACGTTCCAAAGAAAAAGAAAACCAAGAAGGCAAAATGGTTGTCTGCTGAGACACTAAGTAGCCCAAGAAAGGAGGAAAGCAAAAGGAAACAGTGAAAAGGAGAGATATGCCCAGTTAAATGCGCAATTCCAGAGGTTAGCCAGAAGAGATAAGGAACTATTTTTAAATAAGCAATGCATGGAAGTGGAAGAAGACAACAGAATAGGAAGGACAAGAGACCTCTTCCAGAAAATTAGAAACCTTGGAGGTAAATTTCAGGCAAAAATTGGTATGATAAGAAACAAAGATGGCAGGGACCTAACAGAAGCTGAAGAGATCAAGAGAAGGTGGCGAGACTATACAGAAGATCTGTATAGGAAGGATAATAATATTGAGGATAGTTTTGACGGTGTGGTGAATATTAGAACCAGACATCCTGAGGAGTGAGGTTGAATGGCCTTAAGAAGCATTGCTAACAACAAGGCAGCAGGAGACGACGGGATCCCAGCTGAACTGAGATTGCTGTCAAGGTGATGCATGCCATGCCAGCAAATATGGAAAACACAAGAATGGCCATCAGACTGGAAAAAATCAACTTATATCCCCATACCAAAAAAGGAAATGCGAAAGACTGCTCAAACTTCCGTACAGTGGCCCTTATTTCTCATCCAGTAAGGTAATGCTCAAGATCCTGCAAGGAAGACTCCAGCAATACATGGAGCGAGAGTTGCCAGATGTTCAAGCTGGGTTTAGAAAAGGCAGAGGAACGAGAGACCAGATTGCCAATATTCGCTGGATAATGGAGAAAGGCAGGGAGTTTCAGAAAAACATCTACTTCTGCTTCATTGACTATTCTAAAGCCTTTGACTGTGTGGATCATAATAAATTGTGGCAAGTTCTTGGTGGTATGGGGATACCAAGCCACCTTGTCTCTCTCCTGAGGAATCTGTACAAGGACCAAGTAGCAACAGTAAGAACTGACCACGGAACAACAGACTGGTTCAAGATTGGGAAAGGCGTACGGCAAGGCTGCATCCTCTCACCCGACCTTTTTAACTTGTATGCAGAACACATCATGCGATGTGCGGGGCTGGATGAATGCAAAGCTGGGGTGAAAATTGCTGGAAGAAACATTAACAACCTCAGATATGCAGATGACACCACTCTGATGGCCGAAAGCGAGGAGGAGCTGAGGAGCCTTCTAACCAAGGGGAAAGAAGAAAGCGCAAAAGCCGGGTTGCAGCTAAACGTCAAAAAAACCAAGATTATGGCAACAAGAATGATTGACAACTGGAAAATAGAGGGAGGAACCGTGGAGGCCGTGACAGACTTTGTATTTCTAGGTGCAAAGATTACTGCAGATGCAGACTGTGGCCAGGAAATCAGAAGACGCTTACTTCTTGGGAGGAGAGCAATGTCCAGTCTCGATAAAATAGTAAAGAGTAGAGACGTCAGACTGGCAACAAAGATCCGCCTAGTCAAAGCCATGGTATTCCCTGTAGTAACCTACGGATGTGAGAGCTGGACCTTAGGGAAGGCTGAGCGAAGGAAGATCGATGCTTTTGAGCTGTGGTGTTTGAGGAAAGTTCTGAGAGTGCCTTGGACCGCTAGAAGATCCAACCAGTCCATACTTCAGGAAATAAAGCCCGACTGCTCATTGGAGGGAAGGATATTAGAGCCAAAGATGAAGTACTTTGGCCACATCATGAGAAGACAGGAAAGCTGAGAGAAGACAATGATGCTGGGGAAAATGGAAGGAAAAAGGAAGAGGGGCCGACCAAGGGCAAGATGGATGGATGGCATCCTTGAAGTGACTGGATTGACCTTGAAGGAGCTGGGGGTGGTGATGGCCGACAGGGAGCTCTGGCGTGGGCTGGTCCATGGGGTCACGAAGAGTCGGAGACGACTGAACGAATGAATAACAACAACAAATATTGTTTGATACACAACAAGATTAGTACACAGCAAACAAGATCATTATGCTGACTTTTGTATTTGATCACACATCGGACACTTCCCAAGTGTGATGTACCAGTGAATAATGCATGCAGATCCAAATTGGGTGGCCTTTTGCAGCTGACAGATGATAATTTTGTCAGTACCGATTGTTTTTGAGTGCAGGCCAAGGTCTTTAGGCACCATACCCAGTGTACCAATCACCACTGGGACCACTTTTACTGGCTTGTGCCAGAGTCTTTGCAGTTCTATCTGTAAATCCTCTTATTATTGTTATTATTATTTGAAACACAACAAGATGAGTCCACAGCAGACAAGATCACTCTGCTGGCTGTTGTTGTTGTTGTTATTATTATTTTATATTGAGATAATTTCAGGTTTTTTGTCTTGTGTCTCGTACTGAATTTCACCAACACAGAACAGTTTACTTATTTAAAAGTTCTTCTATGGGAATATACTTTGCAAACAGCTTCCAAAATAGCTCTCTTGTCTTTAAATGAGATAGCATCAAACCTTGCATGAAGAAGCATCCTTTGGGTTGTGGGTGGATGCAGAGCAAAATAAGAACTAATGTGTGGATTGGTCCAAGAGTCTCTGATCCTGAGAGCCCTTTAAGCACATTTGCAATTATAGGGAAATGTCAGGGTATCAACCTAAAATAGATGTCATGGTGAAGCTGAACAAATTACACAGCCCAATAACAACAAAAAATGTTATTTATTGGGTTTTAGACCTGTTTCTGGGAGTATATGGGATGCTGTTTCTGAAAATGGCATTAGATAAATCATATCAGCTTTAGTTTCTTAGATATGGTTATCATGATTTTCTGTGGGTGAGCAGATGGAGATTGGTAGATGGCATATATTATGTATCTCAAAAACTAGAGTTGGTAGGAGCAAACTAGTGCCATTTTTGGAATCAACATTTCAAATATACCCAGAAAGAGGGCTAACATTTGAGGTACCAAAATGTGCTCTAGCCACTCAGTGGATTACTCTATTATTCTACTAACAAAGCCATTACTTTAACTGCCACATCCCACGCTCTTCTCACTTCAAATCTTCCTCTCTGTGACAATTTTTCTCATTTTGTTATTACCAGGTACACATCCCACATCTTTTCTTTCCTCATGCTTGTATTCTCTGTCATTCACACATGTGTATATCTCTCTTTTTTCTTCCTATTCACCCACCAGTTTCTTCCTGGCTCTTATTTTTCATCTCCTCCAGCGTATGAAATAGTAGGGAGGTCTCTTCTCTTTTCATTTAAAGTATTTTAATGAGTATTAAAGATTCCTATCAGTGGCCACCCTTATTTAATTAGGGGGCATGTGAGCTCATGTGTCATTCTTGGCAAATAAATCTGGTGGGTGGCAAGTGTGCAATGCTTAATTGTATGGTGTGTGGGGTTTTTTAAAGTTTTTGAGTGTAGAGTTTTATGCAATGAGTGGATGCAGGTGAAGGCAGGTGCTATATCATTAACGCTCCATAAAACTATCTCACTTCTCTTACTTCCTTTCCTCCATGTATACCTTTACACACATAGAATCATTGAATCACTGAGTTGGAAGAGACCTTGTGGGCCATCCAGCCCAACCCCCTCCCAAGAAGCAGGAAAATTGCATTCAAAGCACCCCCAACAGATGGCCATCCACCCTCTGTTTAAAAACCTCCAAAGAAGGAGCCTCCACCACACTCCGGGGCAGAGAGCTCCATTGCTGAACAGATCTCACAGTCAGGAAGTTCTTCCTAATATTCAGGTGGAATCTCCTTTCTTGTAGTTTGAAGCCATTGTTCTGCATCCTAGTCTCCAGGGCAGCAGAAAACAAGCTTGTTCCCTCCTCCCTATGACTTCCCCTTACATATTTATACGTGGCCATCATGTTTCCTCTCAGCCTTCCCTTCTAAGCAGGCTAAACATGTCCAACTCTTTAAGCCACTCCTCATAGGGCTTATTCTCCAGACCCTTGATCATTATAGTTGCCGACCTCTGGACACAATCCAGCTTGTCAACATCTCCAATTGCAGTGCACAGAATTGGGCGTGGTATTCCAGGTGTGGTATGACCAAGGCAGAATAGAGGGGGAGCATGACTTCCCTGGATCTAGAAACTTTACTCCTATTTATGCAGGCTAAAATCCCACTGGCTTTTTTTGTCACCACATGACATTGTTGAGGACTCCAAGATCTTTTTCATGCATACTGTTGTCGAGCCAGGTCTCCCCCATTCTGTATCTTTGCCTGCCTTCCCCTTCCCCTCCCCCTCCTCCTTTTTTGCCTAAGTGGAGTATCTTGCATTTGTCACAGTTGAACTTCATTTTGTTAGTTTTAGCCCATCTCTTTAATCTGTTAACATAAACATGGCCTAAACAAGCCGACTTGGTAGAAAAGTTCCCTTTTGGCTATTGTTATGCAGTAATGTTACTTTAAACCTGCATTGTTCTTATTATTGTTACCATTGTATTTGTCTTTAGGTAGAACAAGCTATTAAGGAAGATAATTGTTGCTTTGGAACAATTGACACATGGCTGCTATATAAGCTCACCAAAGGTAATTAAAAAAAACAAATAAAAATACTCTGCTAACAGGTGTTTTCCAACTATCTGATTAGAGTGCATTTATACTGTAGAATTAATGCTGTTTGACACCACTGTAATTGCTTCAGCTCCATGCTATGGAATTACAAGGTTTGTACTTTTACAAGGCCTTTAACCTTCTCTGCCAAAGAGTGCTGGTGACTCACCAAACTACAAACTCCAGGATGCTATAACACTGACCCATGGCAGTTAAGGTGGAATAAAACTGCATTCATGGAATCATAGAGTTGGAAGAGACTTGGTGAGCCATCCAGTCCAACCCCCTGCCAAGAAGCAGGAAAATCACACTCAAAGCACCCCTGATAGATTACCATCCAGCCTTCAGTTTGCAGGGCAGATGCTGCTATAGAATCAGCTAGCAATATTTGTGCAGTCTTACAGACGTTTTTGTTGAAACAACTGTGATTCGCAGAATTAATATTTTTCCGCAAACCATTCATCCACATCCAATTGTATATGTTCCTTTCTAATTCCCAGGTTCAGTATATGCTACAGAATATTCAAATGCAAGTTCCACTGGATTTTTTGATCCTATAAAGGTATGATTCTTTTTCTGTAGAAAACTATTGCAGTGTTTACATTGGGTTTGCTTTTAACAGCTTTTTCTCTATATCCATCTGGTTTTAGATGCAGTGGAGTATGTTCCTTAGCAAGTTACTTTCCATTCCAGTATCAATTTTTCCACTAGTACAAGACACAAGGTAAGACCCGCTCCTAATGAATAAATAACATGTAGTTTTCTGAACGAAGGCATAGATATCTGTGCATTTATATAGGAAGCTTATAGTAAAACATATCACAGTCAAATTCTGTTTAGATCAGAAGTGAGACATTTTCGCACTGATCTATATCTAAGATGTCAATAGTTGAGTTCTAAGCTTTACTAATCGAATTAAAAGATACTAACTTTATGTTTCTTTTAAGTCACAACTTCGGATCCGTTGATGCTGAAATATTTGGAGCACCTATTAAAATAGCAGCTTTGGTAAGTAATCCACCTCTCCTTTTTATTTACCGTAGAGATAGCAGCATGTGGGAGATTCATACATTGCCCCCTCCTGCCTTTGAGATAAATAGATGGATGGGTGGGTGGGTGGTTAGGTAGACAGACATATACATACATACACACACACACACATATACATACAGTCAAGTATTGAGCAAAAATGCTAACAAGGTCATAAAACATTTTCCTCTTCCACTCAGATTTTATGTAATAGATGTCCTAGCATTTGGCTTGTCCATTAAAAATTCCTGGGTTACATCCAATTTTAGTCATACCTAGAGCAGGCCCATTAAAATTAATGGGGACAGCCAAATCTTTAGATGTTTTGTGATTCAAGACTGAGGATCAACCCTAATCCAGTAGTGATTTTCCTCTGGACTTTATTTTTAACCTTGGCGACTTAAGTGTGTTTTGTCATACACACTGTTTGAATAAGACTTTGTATATTGTAGAAATTAGATTAACCTGATCCTGAAATATATTTGATTCTAAACTCCAGTCCAGGTGTTAATCCTAACATTATTGTACTAGGCATTGTATAAGAGATTTTTATCTGTTCTTGACATTGCAGTTCAAATCCCACCAACTTCAGCAGTCATAGGCAATGCTAGTCGATCCAATTTAACAATTCCTACTCATAGTTTCGAGTCTTGCTAAAAGCGGAAGACTAGATTAGGAGAGTCTTTCTATCCCTGTGGCCTTGTAAATTAAATATATGCAGGTAAAATCTGTGTAGCCAATGGTTTATGGTCTTCTTTGTCAACAGCGTTCAGCCTAGTTGATTCGCCTTTCATTCGTAGTGAATTAGTTTTCTTGATGATGTATAAATGGTGTAATGTTAAAAGGAAGGAATAATTAGGTGTGCGGTGCGTGATCGATTCCTCAGTTTCTCCGTTCTTTTACTTTTCAAGAATACATAGTGGAAGCATAAAACAATCAGCTGTAAGATTTCTTGTGTCCTTGTTGTGGTCTCCAAATATACAATGCTGGCTTATACATCGAGTTCAGTAAATGTGAGCCATATGCAAAGTCTATTCTGAAGGTCCCCTTCTTTCTTAAAACAAAAGATTGGGTTGCTGTTGGTTTTCCGGGCTGTATGGCCATGTTCCAGACGCATTCTCTCCTGACAAGAGAGAGAGAGAGAGAGAGAGAATGCATCTGGAACCTGGCCATATGGCCCAGAAAACTCACAGCAACCAGTGATTCCGGCCATAAACGCCTTTGCCAACCCAAAAGATTATTAGTTTCTTGAAGGCAACAGAATGATCATGAGCTTCAGAAAGACTAACTTTTACCTGGGGCAGCCAGTGACCTTGAACTTACAGCTCTTTTGTCTGTGTTTTTGTTCTGTAGGTGGCAGACCAACAAGCAGCCATGTTTGGAGAATGTTGTTTTGATATTGGTGATCTTAAGGTCACCATGGGAACTGGTTCATTCTGGGATATTAACACTGGAAGCAAAGTTCATACATCTAAAAAAGGTAAAGTCGTATGTTTAAATTCTGCAACGCTGGCTAACAGGAATCACTATGGACAAAAGGAGGTTTCCAGTGATATTTAAAATAAGTGTAATAAAACATTTCAGATGAAATCATATAGATGTGATCATATGGGTTAGTCCAGCAATCTCCTTTCATAGCAGAATACAGATTGGTAGTGGGTTGTAATAGATGCAGGATGGAAACATCGGATAAGTAAGTAGACTTTAGAGAAGAGGACAAACTTATGAGCAAAATAATTTGTCGTCAAAACTTCTGAAAACTGTCAAATTCAAAGAATGTACTCGCTAATAGGTATGTATAGGAATCCAGTATTAGATACATAATTTGATAGCAATCTTAACATGCATTTATTTGAAATGTATTGGACAATTCATTAAATGCAGAAACAACAGTTTGTTCTACCAGAAAGATTATATATAGATGTGTGGTTGAGTCATTTTTGGAAGTAAACTTTTGAATGTGTTGTCGAAGGCTTTCATGGCCGGAATCACTGGGTTGCTGTGAATTTTCTGGGCTGTATGACCATGTTCCAGAAGCATTCTTTCCTGACGTTTCACCCACATCTATGGCAGGCATCCACAGAGGTTGTGAAGTCTGTTGGAAACTAGACAAGCGAGGTTTATATATCAGGGGAATGTCCATGGTGGGAAAAAGAACACTTGTCTGTTTAAGGCAAGTGTGAGTGCTGCAACTGGCCATCTTGATTAGTATTGAATGGCCTTGCAGCTTTAAAGCATAGCTGCTTCCTCCTTAGGGGAATGCTTTGGTGGGAAGTGTTAGCTGGCCCTGGTTGTTTCATGCCTGGAATTCCCCTGTTTTCCGAGTGTTGTTTTTCTTTATTTAGACATTCCACATATATATATATATAAGTCCTACTTGCCTACTTTCCAACAGATTTCACAACCTCTAAGGATGTCTGCCATAGATGTGGGCAAAACATCAGGAAAGAATGCTTCTGGAACATGGCCATACAGCCTGGAAAACTCACAACAACTCAAACTCTTGAATGCTAGATGGTGTGTGTGCTTTCATTTTGAAAAGAGTTCAGAAACCAGAAAGGCCTGTAGTTATACCATTCCAATGGATGTATGTAGGAAAGTACTGGCTACGTTGAATTTAATGGTAAGATTAAATAGCTGTCCATAGGTAATCTGATTAGCCCCCACTAGCAAATTGAGACTCTGTTTAGGCAAGCAATTGATAGACATTTAAGTAATAGGGTGGAACTCTGTTGAATGTGATGTGTTTTTAATTGTGTTTTAAATGTATTTCCTGTGATATGATCAACATAAGTCAGAAAGGACTTGTTTTTATTAATCTGATGTAATTGTATTGTATTTCTTTTAACTTTTGTAATGGACATTTTAGTCAGCCTCTGTTATAGGTTTTGTGGCCATTTTGTGTCCTTTGGTGGGAGAACAGCAGGGTATAAATTGAAGAAATAAGATAGCTTTGGTATTTATCAATCTAAAGCATTTTCTTTATATGTTTCATAAGGCTATAAATATCGTCAAGGAATGAGAGCCCTGTACATACCACACTGAACTCTTTGGTTGAGTGCTGGAATAGAAATATAGGGCTCTTTCTAAAGTTCAGACTGTTATCTTGAACCTCTCTATTTGGCAAAGGTCTTTGAAGCTTTTGTTTATGATAGAAGAGAAGGAAGGGGATTTTTTGTATTTTCCCCTTTTTTGCAGCCAGCCTTGCAATATGTGTAATTTTCTGGAAGCTCTTCAAGCCACTCAGAGATTATGTTCAGCTTGCGGGAGCAAAGGAAAGCTGATGAAAATTGCCTTCTCTTTCTGGAGACATTTGCTGCATCAAAAGCCCTTCCAGGAGTAATGACATTCACTAATAAACAAACATGTCTCTTATTACTTTAAGGCTTATATCCGTTGGTTGGTTGGAAGATTGGAAAAGAGGTGACCTACTTAGCTGAAGGCAATGCTTCTGACACTGGGAATGCTATAAAATGGGCTCAGAGTTTAGGTGAGTAGCTTGAATATCTGAGTATTTAAAACAAGAGAAGGAACCTTTGGATTGCAAGCCTAACAGTGGACTCTGGCACATGAAAAAGTAGGTAGCAACCACCCCATCCTTGGAAAAGGAGTCACTGAATTATGCCCAATCAATTGATTTTAGTCTGACTGCTCTAAGTAGGACTAAAATTGGATCCAAAACACAGTATTTTTGATAAGCAACACTGATAAAAAATTTTTATCAGTGTTTTATCTTTTCCTTCCACATATTTTGGACTATGGCCCTAATTGGCCCCAGACAGCATGCGTATTGGTTAAGAATGATAAGAGCTGTAGTTCATTTTTTTTCTCCTTATGAGAGCCAGCCGGTATAGTGAACATTTGAACATTGGTCTATGACTCTAGAGACCAGGGTTCGAATCTCTGCTTAGCCATGTAAATCTCTTGGATGAAGAAGTCACACTCTCTCAGCCTCAGAGGAAGTCAAAAGAAAACCCACTTTGAGCAAGTCATGCCAAAAAAGGTTCATTTTAGAGTCATCATGAGTCAGAAATGACTCAAAGGTATACAAGTCCAAAAATACAGAGAAGGTGCCATGTTTGTAATGTTGTTTTCAATGGTAGTTTACTGGTGAGTGTCCCTTGCTAGGTCTTGCACTCACACACTCTCCCCCTGCTCTCCCAGTCCTCCTAAGTGAGAACAAAAAGGAACTGACTGGCCATATTGCTCTGCATCTTGCCTGTTACATGCAAGCAGGGCTAAGAGCATTTTCTGTTTGGCTTCCATGGTTTTTCTGGACAGTTCTATCGATTTTCCCCAGAGGAAGAAAACAAGAAAGTGATCTCAGTATCAATTAGGATTGTGCTTTCGGGATAAATCTTGTCCCATTTTGGGTCCCAGCTTTCGTTGGGGGCCTCAATCCATTTTTGGAAACCTCCCAAAATCAGGAGGGTTGTTTTTGGTTTGAGGCCCCAAAAATTGGACCAATGGGGGTGGGGGCTTCCCATCCACTGGCTCCTCTTTTTGATGTGTGCTTCCATTCTTCTTACTTGGCAACTACTGTTCCTACTCTAGAGTAAGAGGTACTTGGCTGTAGGAAGACACTGGGAGGTGCGCATGCTTTCCAGGCCTGGAAAGCATGTGTTGGAAAGCATGTGTGTGTGGTGGGGCATGCAGGCAGGCCCAGAGTGCACCTGCAGCCAGAGCATGCCTGCAGCCTGCTTTCATCTGCGGCCGAACTTGCCTCTTTGCCTTGGAAAGAGAGTGCGTGTGTGGCAGGACCTGCCTACATGTCATTCGGCTGCAGATGAAAGCAGGCTTTCGTGTCAAGCAGATTTTCTTGAGGGAAGAGGGCTTCTTGTTTCGTGCTCCCAAATAAACGGAAGACACAAAAGAAATTGTAAGAACGAATTCTGTGTAGAACTCTCATATCAATGTGAAAATAAGCCTCTTCCAACCTAGGCTACTCCAACCATGGGATTAGCACTGCAAGGAAGCTTAGCTGAAAGTTGCAAGTAGGATTCTGATTAGTCTGGGAGATCATAAAGAGTTTTTGTTTATTCCTGAAAGTGTGTGAGCTTTCCATTTTATTCTATGCAAAAGGTTAAACCAAATTTTCCTCTTTCACAGATCTTTTTGCCAGTGCTGATGAGACATCAAATATGGCACACAGCCTAGTAAATTCAGGAGGAGTTTGTTTTGTTCCATCATTTAGTGGGTTACAGGTAAAAATACTGTCTTTGATTGCTGAAGTGGCAGCTGTCTCCCCCCCCCCCAAGTAAGATAATTTGTCATATAACACATGTGTTGTTCAATATAAAGTTAGAATGTATTGTATTTTGAATAATTACATTCAAGTCAATACCTATGTGCTTCTTATTTCTGTCTTAATTTTCTTCTTCTTACTATGCTGCCTGTTATTATCATCTGTAAGTTACTATTTCCTTAAATTTCAGTCCATTCTTTGACATCTGCCAGCAGAACGTATTCTTGTATCTTATTTTGCTATATTTTTGTTTTAGATTCCAGTAAATGACCCCTATGCATGTACTTCTTTTATGGGGATCACACCTTCCACCACCAAAAACCATCTTGTTCGGGCTATACTGGAATCTATAGCTTTCAGGTACTTAGTCAGGCACTTTTAGCTAAAATTACACATTGGAGGCTCTTGCAGATGCTGTTACCTTAGTAGAATTAATGTTCACCCCCAACCTATAATTGTGCTACCAGTCCATACAAGCAAATGGAACCTATATTAACTCACTTTTTAAACTTGGATACGTGCTTGGTTACTATGTTGTTCAGAATTTGCACAGCTGCTAAAGAACTTACATCAGAGTCAATGTGCCATACTCCAGTTTGTGACCACCATTTTTCAGTGCATTGGAAAACAAATAAGAAAGAACTTAAAATCCAGATGGTATGGACAACAACACATATAGCATGAAAGCGTGACGCATAGAGGATAAGGTTCCAAAAATGGTCCCATCTACACTGCCACATAATGCAGGATTGAAACTGCATTATATGGTCAGCTTAGACTCATATAATGCAGTTCAAACTGCATTATATGAGTCCAAGCTCACCATATAATGCAGTGTAGAATGGAGCCTTCGACTTTCTATTGACTCATTTCCATGTGTTTCTTCATCTGTAGTCTTCCCCCACAATCCCTATTACCTTTTCTCTGTGTATAGATATTTTAATGTATCCCTTTACGGTCATAAATTTACACCTCTGTTTTGACTTTACTGGCATTTATAAACTCACAGACCAGATTCAGAAGAATAGGTCTGGAATTTCTACGAGAATGCTTTCTCCTGAGATATTCTTGTTGGAGAAGACTGAGGAAATGTTGTTTTATCCATTCCTCCTTGTCCTGCCTCTCTGAAACTCTCTGGGGGATTGGTTTCTGCTCAAGAATTATCTCCATTGTTGTCTGGGATCCATTCTGTATTCTTCATTTGTATTCTGTTAATCTCTTATTTCTTCTTGAGCTGCCTTTCCCCTTCAAAATAGCTGATAGAATTTCTCTGACGAGAAGAGCTATGTTCTTTGATGTTTAACTTAAAAATTCTTGTTGAAGAGCTAGAACTTTCATTCTAGTGTAGTTTAACTATGGGCATCGATATACACAGACAGGGGAATAATGATTTATAAACATTCTAGCATTATGGAAAATACCTCAACAATTTATTGTTTAGTGGGTTAAGTGATCACTTCCTTACACTTCAGTGGCATACTTGCTGTTTTTAACAGAAGAGGTAGCACATTAATCTTGATTGATCTCTGTCTCTTGCTTTATCAGGCACTTTATTCATTAATAATATTTTAGAAAACATTTAGTTGCAGGTTCTTGTTGCATTTTTATTTGTGTACATGTTTTCATTTCTGCTTATGGGTTTTTTTTTTTAAAGAAACAAACAGCTGTATGATACCATCACGAAAGATGTGGGCATACTACCTACCTCCATCCGGTATGTTTATGTTATGTCTAAAATATCAATATTTGTACATCTTAATTTGAATTCCTTTAATAAATAGGAGTCTTATTTCTTAGAGTTTTATTGAAATTTTAGGCGCACTTGTTGATTCAAGCTTCAAAATAGATAGTAAAGCTTCCTAATTCTCTATGTTGTCACCATCAAAGCTATTAACAGCAGCTTATTTCCCTATATAGTGCTTTTGCAAATTTGCAGTCACACTTTTGGAAGTCAACAACATGTTTAGCCTGGCAGTCCTTTTATGGAAACAAATAATGTAATAACTTTTAGTCCAGTGGTTCCCAACCTTTTTTTGACCAGGGACCACTTGACCAGGGACCACTCTCCAACATTAGTACCCAAAGGGTTACAAATCAGTTTTTGACCAACTTTAGATTCAGTTTGGTTATTTGAGGTGTTGATTCAGAAAATTGCATTGGATAAACCACATCAGTTCCAGTTTCTGATACAGATCATATGCCATCCAGTAGTCACTATCTGCTCGCTCACAGAAAACTATACATAATAATTTAGAGCTGATGTAATCTATACAATTCAATTTTCTGAATCAGCACCCCAAATAACCCCAGGCACAGGCCTAAAAACAAAGACACCAAGCGCTCCCGCTTCCAGGTGCCCCGCTTTCAAGGGGAGGGAGGAGGAGGAGAAGTAGCAATCAGGAGGTTTGTTGTTGTGCCTTTCATGGGTTGTCAGCCTCTTCCCCCCCCCCCCCCCCGACATCCCCTTGCCTCAGTACTATAAGACGGTTTCATGAGACCAGTCGCTTTTGTTGCAATGGTGTCATAACACTGAGGCCGCGGACCATATTTTAGTTCTTGTGAATCACTAGTGGTCCACAAACCACAGGTTGGGAACCACTGCTTTTGACGAAGGTTCCTCACATGTGACTTAATCACTAAAAGTTTATTTTTTCTTTTTTCCCTTCTCACAGAGCTGATGGTGGTGTCAGTAAAAATAATTTTGTGATGCAGATGACTTCTGATTTAACTAATAAAATAATAAGTAGACCGGCAAGTACAGACATGTCTTGTCTTGGAGCAGCTTTTCTAGCAGGCCTTGCTGTAGGTATGTGCAATTCAAAAAATTAAGGGATAATCTGTTTTAAGAGGAAAATTAAAAGCAGAAGTTTTACAAACAAAGCATGATAGTATAAAGATGAGAGGCTAGCTTAAAGTAACATGAATCCTAACTAATAGTGAACCAGACACCTAATAATTCAATTTCAATTATTTTTTCAAAAAACAGCATTGCAAAATTGACAGATGTCTGTGGTAGAATATGATCTCTGTAATTGTCATATATGTCTAAAGAAACCAAGGAAAATCTACGTTACTGTAGTAGTTCTGATTCATCAATAGTTGTTTTCACTGAGTTCTTTTTCAAACAATAGAATTTAAGATAAATGCAACTATTTATTTATATCTCACTTTAGAATCAATATGTTCTTGCCTGGTTTCCTGTAGTGAAAATAATTAAAGAGGAATATAATAGTTTTAAATTGAAGTTTAAGTTCAAATGTATGATGATGTCAATTTGTCCTATTAATAGTTTTCATGAGGAAAGTTGATGTCAGTCTTGAGTCTTAACACAGACCAGAACATTAATTTAAGTCAATTAAATATGTCATTGCTAGTTAACCTGATAATCCTAGATTACATCATTTTGTAATGTAATAATAATAATAGTTTTATGTCTTGCCTGCCTCTCCTTACAACTCGAGGAAGGTTACAGCATTACTAAAACATAAACAAACACATAATCATTTTGAAACACTCTGTAAAATACACATATTAAAATATACCTCCATAAATAATATGTATCAAAATACACAAAACAAAAACAAAGCATACAATGGAGTTTAAAATTCACCATTAAAACTGTCTAGGTAGTCATACCAGAAAAGATAGGTCTTCACTTTTGTCTTAAATTCTGACAGCAGATTCAACTCTCTGAGCTCTACAGTTGTGGAGCGGCTGCTGAAAAGGTCCTGTGTGTGACGGTTGCCAGTTGGGGTTTGGCTAGTTGGAGTAACTGCCCCCCAGAGGACCTAAGTGTATGGGAGAAGGTGATCCTGTAGATAACCTGGACCCAAACCATGTAGGGCTTTAAAGGTCATAACCAACACCTTGTACTTTTCCTGGAAACTAATTGCCAGCCAATGGAGTGACTATGGGATCGGTGCAATATGCTCACTTCTAGATGTTCTGGTAACCAGTCTGACTGCCCTATTTTGAATCTGGCACTAGAATGTTTAACTTTTTGTAAATTAGTGAATGGACTAATTCCTTTCTTGGCTCTGTTAGTTCTCAAACTTGACATATATTTTTCCGTTACCTGTTCCTGACCACACTCTTGGACCTTAGGAAATATGATTTGTGTGTTGTTCATAGGATTCTGGAATGACAAAGAGCAGCTGAAGAAGTTAATACGACCGGATATGGTTTTCAAACCACAAAAGGATCCAGAGGAATATGAACCTGCTATGAGTAACTGGATAAAAGCTGTTCAGCGTTCTCTCTCGTGGTATAACCATACATCACCTTGTTAAGATCAATATAAAAACTATAGATGAATATATATCTGAAAAGCTGGATTGAAGAGCAAGCTCCAACTCTAATCCTGATTTTGAATTGACTGTTTACCATTTGCTCCTTTGCAACGTTACTCAGAATGCACCAGCTGTCTTTCTGGAACAGCAGTGACTACGATTCAGTAGTCAAGAAACGGAATGCCGGTGTTTCATATACTGTATATCAAGGGGGTGGTTTTGTATACAGACTAGATATGATGACAGAGAGATGTGATTTCTGCTCCACTTCTTTTTTAAAAAAGCAAGCAAAACCTCAACTCATTCAAATAGAACTGTATCAGTTTGCTTCCCCATAAAAACCTTATATATTGCCTTCTGGGGAAGAAAACCTAAGACAGAGGTGCTTTTGCACACCAAGTTTGACCAAAGCATTCAAATTTAATATCATTAAAGAAGATTCATCAGTTGATGATAAATAATTTATCAGAAATTAATTTATGTTAATTGCTGTTGTAAGATATACACATTTGTTTTAATCCAGAAATCAGTTAAATCACCAAAACTAGACAAATATGGCAACACATTTCTCAGAGTGACCTCAGAAGTAACAAATTTAATTAAGATGACATAGTCTTATTTTTAAAAGGTCCAAATTGTTGATGCTAAACTATTACAATAAAGATATTAAAATTGCTGTCATGAAAGATAAATAAGCAATAAATAAGTAGTAATTAATTTAACTACTTATTTCAACTTCTTAAGTTGATCATAAATCAATAAATTATCTGGTTGGTATGAACATGGCAAATATAATGTAGCATTTTGTCTCACTCAAGATTTCATCTAATATATATTGATCTCTGACTCACTTAAGAATAAATTATACTAGTTTATGCTTAAGTCAGTCAGAGATCATTAAATATTAGATGAAATCTTGAGAGAGACAAAAAATGGCTACTTCCCCACAGTGTGTTTCTTAACAGAAGGAGTTTGTGTGGATTAACCTCCCTTTAAGCTAAACAAATGGAGATGTAAGCAGACTGTTACTTCTCAATTTCAAGTTGTTATTGTTAGCGTTTTCATACTGACAATAACCACTTGGCCATGTATATCTGTTATTTCAGGTATATAGGAAATAGTATTTGTGCCCAAAATTTTATCTTTATTTAGAGTATTTATACCTCACTCCTTGGCCATAAATTTTCTCAGAGCCACTTATAAAATATTAATTTGACAGTATGAAATGAAGTGGGGCTGAGGAGGAAGTGAAGATGGCTGCTGCCCTCCAGCATTTGCAAACTGGGGTAATCTGTTTAATTGTAGGGCTAGCTATGAGTGTAATAGCACAGAACTTAAATGGAAAGTAAAATGATTAGAATGTCAACATTTTGTCATTTGGAAAAATGTATTTTTCTTCTACTACGTAATTATTTTACAGCTGTGCCGGGTAGCTATGAAATTGCATAGATATTTGGTCTCTGGTGTTAAGTTATATATTCCATCAACCTTTAGCCTTCCAGGTTGGTTTGTTTGTTTGGTTTTGGCCTGCATCTCCCATTAGCCCTTGCCATTTTATCCTGTGGTGATATAAGGTATGGGAGTTGACCCAAAAACATATGGAGGGCCATAGTTGCCTATCCTTACTCTTGAAACAACACTGCCTTATATAAAAGGTAAAAGTTTCCCTTGACGTTAAGTCGAGTCATGTCCGACTGGGGGATGGTGCTCATCTCCATTTCTAAGCTGAAGAGCTGGCATTGTCCGTAGATGCCTCCAAGGTCATGTGGCTAGCATGATTGCATGGAATGCCGTTACCTTCTCACCAAAGCGGTACCTATTGATCTAGTCACATTTACATGTTTTCGAACCGCTAGATCGGCAGAAGCTGGGCTTAACAATGAGAGTTCATCCCACTCCCCGGATTTGAAGCACAGACTTTTTAGTCAGTAAGTTCAGAAGCTCAGCGGTGTAACCCGGTGCGACACCAGGGAGCCCCTACTGCCTTACATTCATACAAGACAATTAGGCTGTTAAACTGATGTACCTAGGTTTGTCTTTGAACTGTTAGGGACAAAGCTACGCCAGTGCAAAATAAAACATATATACACACACACATACATAGCAGAATTTCAGAAGTGTTCTTTTTAGTTGCTCAAAAAAATCTACTCTCCCTTAAAATATATTTGCCTTTAAATCATGTTCTCAAGAGACAAAAATAAGTAACATAGTTGGTTTATTCACAAACTTCATGTATTCAGCATACAAGTACTTTGCATATCAATCAAGTTACAGATAGGATTTTAAGTAGTTTCTCTGTGTAAGTAACACAGGGCATCATTCTTGGAATCAACAGTCCATAGTCCAAACCATCTCTGTTTTGAGAGTCTAATAGAGTCTCTGTCTAGTCTGAAAGTACAATGGAGTCTAATGGCTTCTGTATAGCATTCTGTTCCTACTGACTTCTAAAGGCATACAGTTCCTACTGAAGCCTCAAAGCATACAGTTCCTACATTGAAGTCTCTAAGCATTCTGTTTATAAAATGGAGTCTGAGTCCTGAACAAGTCCCAGTTCTGATCACATGGTCTGCAGCTCCTCCCACAACAAAGTGTTAAAAAAACTGCATTCCAGTACACACTACAGTAAGCAATTTGAATTGTATACATAACAAATAACTGATGGAGGCTTGAAGAAGGTTGCTATTTCCAATATCCAGAAGGCTAGGATCAATGAGAAAATGTGGCTGGAGTGTACTTTACATCATGTAGATAAAACCTCAATAAACTTCCAGTATGTGATTGTAAACCTCTAGTCCACATTCAAAAGATGCAGCCACAATTAAGCATGATAATTAAATTATGTTGCTCTAGTTTTGAAATTTTGGATTCTAATAAAAAATTAAATGCATACTTCTGATTTAAGTTGCCATATATTACCATAGCAGTGATTCTCAAGGATCTAGTTAGGGAGAGAGTTGAAATTCAGATCCCCCCCCCCCCCCCCCCCCCGAATGTATATTTACTTCATTTGGCTAGAGCCTGGACATAACAGGGATCTAGTGAACTGCATTTTATCTTTGGAATAGCTGTTATTCTCATATTGGTCTGTTAAGGATGTTTACATGCTTCTTATAATGGAGTATCATTGTTTCAAATTATTCTGCATATATTTCAGAAAGATAAGAACATACTGTTTGTTCAAAGCAGAACTATGACAGTCTAACTTCTTTTTTAATGTAGTCGGCCTATGACAGAATGTGTCTTGTAAATATTACTTAGATTCTGTAAGCTACAGCAGTCATGGGCAAACTTGGGCCCTCCAGGTGTTTTGGACTACAATCCCCATAATTCCTAACAGCCTCAGCCCCCCTTCCTTTGGGCTGAGGCTGTTAGGAATTATGGGAATTGTAGTCCAAAACACCTGGAGGGCCCAAGTTTGTCTATGGCTGAGCTACAGCCAAACAGGTTTTTAAATTCTCTTTAGAATCTAACTGCACTTTTTTCAATGAAATGAGAAAGTGATAACCATATTTGCGCAGTGGCTTGGACATTATGAACTAGCTAAGTACTGAATCAGACATTAAATTTTGGAGGCACATGTTCTATAGACAAACATGATGTTAAAATATTAAACTGAAATTGTTTTTTTATTCAGATTGTAATTTCTTGTTATATCTATATATTGTTACCCAATGAAAGACATAAATGTTAAGCTTGAAAAATTATATAGTGTGCGGCTTTTTCTATGTAATAAATTATTGCAGTGTGTTGAATTATTTTGTGTATTCACAAAATATCTATTAGCGGAAGGTGTTCTCCTGGATCACGAAAAGGCAGTTACAAATGGAAATTGGTTAAATCTGACAGGGCGAAAAGCATGATGTTAAATATAATAAGATTTCTTAATGAAAGTATTATTTTCAATTGCAGATGTATGCACAAACAACTAGTACCATAGAATGATAGAATCATAGAGTTGGAAGAGACCTCATGGGCCATCCAATCCAACCCATTGCCAAGAAGCAGAAAAATCGCATTCAAAGCACCCCTGACAGATTGCCATCCAGCCTCTTTTTAAAAGCTTCCAAAGAAGGAGCCTCCACTACACTCCGGGGCAGAGAGTTCCACTGCTGAACAGCTGTTAAGTTAGGAAGTTTTTCCTAATGTTCAGGTGGAATCTTCTTTCCTGTAGTTTGAAGCCATTGTTCCACGTCCTAGTCTTCAGGGCAACAGAAAACAAGCTTGCTCCCTCCTCCCTATGACTTCCTCTCACATATTTATACATGGCCATCATGTCTCTTCTCAGACTTCTCTTCTGCAGGCTAAATGTGCCTAGCTCTTTAATCCATTCCTCATAGGGCTTATTCTCCAGACCCTTGATCATTTTCATCCTCCTCCTCTGGACACCTTCCAGCTTGTCAGTATCTCCCTTCAATTGCGGTGCTCAGAATTGGACACAGTATTCCAGGTGTGGTCTGACCAAGGCAGAATAGATAGAGGAGTAGCATGACTTCCCTGGATCTAGACACTATACTCCTATTTATGCAGGCCAAAATCCCATTGGCTTTTTTTGGCTGCCGCATTGTATTGTTGGCTCTTGTTTAACTTGTTGTTCACGAGGACTCCATGATCTTTTTCACACATACTGCTGTCGAGCCATTCTGAGGGCACCAGGAGGTAGTGAAGTCATAGTGAATCAAAATCAAATAGCACAGGTGGAGACAATCTAGGTCAAAGAAAGAAAAATATGACTGTGTGTGTGTGTTTTTATATATATATAGCACCTGGTCACAATACCAGTGAAAACATTGCTCATCTGTGATGACATAGGGAAACATTGTTTCTTCATAAAAGGGAGTGGAGAAGAATCCATCCGCACATCTCAGTGTAATCTATTTTACCACAAGCGTTCTTGGGCATTACTTTTCTTCTTTAGATGGGGGTCAGTTGGCACTGACATTTGAAAGAAAAATAAACAAAAGAAAACTTCACTTTTTACTTAACTGTCATTAGTATTGTATTTATTTATACACCTGATGGTGCAGCGGGTTAAACCACGGAGCTGCTGAATTTGCTGACTGAAAGATTGGCGGTTTGAATCCAAGAAGCAGGACAAGCTCCTGCTGTTAGGCCCAGCTTCTGCCAACTCAGCAGTTCGAAAACATGCAAATGTGAGTAGATCAATAGGTACCGCTCCAGCAGGAAGGTAATGGCGCTCCATGCAGTCATGCTGGCCACATGACCTTGAAGGTGTTGTATGGACAACAGCGGCTCATTGGCTTAGAAATGGAGATGAGCACCAACCCCCAGAGTCGGGCAAGACTGGACTTAAGGTCAAGGGGAAACCTTTACCTTTACCCTGCTTTATCTCCCTAAAAGGGAATCAAAGTAGCTTGACATAAACACAGGAGCTTCAGGTTGGACTATCCCTCTGAAATATCTTTGTACCAAATAATAATCGCTTGAACATTGGCACGTACAAAGTGATTAAAAATATTTGCTTGAGTTGTATTTGTTATGCTGTTGATTTGCTTGAGTTGTATTTGTTATGCTGTAGTTGTGATGAGGCCTTGGCCTTTGTAAGCCGCATCGAGTCCTTCGGGAGATGCTAGCGGGGTACAAATAAAGTTTAATAATAATAATAATAATAATATTGTGTATTGTATTGTCAGAGACTTTCATGGCCGGAATCACTGGGCTCTGTGAGTTTTCCAAGCTGTGTGGCCATGTTTCAGAAGCATTCTCTTCTGATGTTTTGCCTGCATCTATGGCAGGCACCCGCAGAGGTTGTGAGATCTGTTGGAAATAAGTCAAATGGGGTTTAGATATCTGTGGAACGTCCAGAATGGGAGAAAGAACTCTTTATCTGTTTGAGGTAGGTGTGATTGGCTAGCTTGATTAGTATGTAATAGCCAGGGGCGGCTCAACCCATTACGCAAAGTAAGCATTTGCAGTATAGTTGATTTTGCCCAGGGGCGCTCTTGAGGTGCTCTTGGGGGAAAATAGACATTGACATATGCGAGTTGTAGTTACTGGGATGTATAGTTCACCTAAAATCAAAGAACATTCTGAACTCCACCAATGATGGAATTGAACCAAATATGGCACACAGAACTCCCATGAAGAATAGAAAATATATATCAATGATTAGTTGGGGGGGGGGGAGCACTAAAATACTGTTTGCTTACTGTTGAAAATTACCTAGGGCTGCCTCTGGTAATAGCCTAGCAATTTCAAGGTCTGGCTTCTTACTGCTTGGGGGAATCCTTCCTTTCTCTCACCCTGGACATGCCACAGATATATAAACCTCCCTTGCTTAGTTTCCAACAGACCTCACAACCTCTGAGGATGCCTGTCATAGATGTGGTCGAAACGTCAGGAGAGAATGCTTCTGGAACATGGTCATACAGCCCAAAAAACTCACAACAACTCAATATTGTGTGCAAGTACCCTCAGGATGTGTATCCAATTAGTTTTGGCAGTTTTAACTATTTTCATAGTCCCTGGTGTAAATGTTGAGGGCATAGAGGGGCGGGGCGAAGCTAAGCTTTAGGCCACGCCCCCTTTTCCCAAGGCAGAGTGGCGAGCAGGCTGCGTACACACAGACCGCGCACGGCCAATGGGTGGCTTCCTCGCGAGCGCACGGGCCAATGGGCGCGCTCGCTTGCTGCGTACACACACACAGAGCGCCCCGGCCAATGGGAGACCGTAGCCGGCGGCTTCCTCGCGAGCGCACTGGCCAATGGGCGCGCTGGGTTGTCAGGCGCCGCCAAGCTTGTGTGGGGGACGGGGAAGAGAGGCGCGCGCGGGCGAGAGAGAGAGAGAGGCAGCGCGAGAGGGAGCGCGCGCGCGAAAGAGAGAGGCCTCCTCGCGAGTTGTGAGCTGCGCGCGCAGGTCTGTCTTCCCCGAAAACCCGACATGTCGACAAGGCCTGGGCCAACTTCGGCCCTCCATCCAGGTGTTTTCGACTTCCACTCCCACAATTCCTAACAGCCAAGGAATTGTGGGAGTTGGAGTCCAAAACACATGGATGGAGGGGCCGAACTTTTTCCCCTCCCGCAATCGAGACTTCCAGGGCTGTTGTTTACCTCAACTTCCTTTGCTTCGCCCGGTGCCAACTCGCAGCGGAAGTTGTTGTAATACGGGCCACGGCCTTAACTGCTTACAGCCCGGCTCTGTCCATCTTTCCCACAGTTGAGAGGGTTGGGGTGGCTCTCACGCAGAGCAGGATAGCTTTGGCTCTGAAGTAAAGCCTATAGATTAGGCCCAGCCTCCGGACTTACGATTTCCAGATAAGAGGTACTCAGTCTGTTTATATTATACTACCCACGCGTTGCTGTGGCCCAGTCTGGTGATCTGGAAAACAAAGTAACGAGAAAGTGTTGGTTTCTAATCTATGTGATGTCTTTATGCTTGTGGAGAAACAGTATTTCTTGTTAAGTTCTTGTAGGTTTTTTCGGGCTATAGGGCCATGTTCTAGAGGCATTTCTCCTGACGTTTCGCCTGCATCTATGGCAAGCATAATAATATAATATAGTATATTGTATATACATATAATATTTATAATATTATAATGTAATACAATGTAATACTAGTAATAATAATTCAATATTATAATTATAATTATATATTTAATTACATGTAATATTACTAATAATATTACAATATAATGGTATAGTGCAATATAGTAATATATACTGATATTGTACTTTGCTAATAATATAATATATTGTATGAAAATATATATTGTAAGCCGCTCTGATTCCCCTTCGGGGTGAGAAGGGCGGCATATAAGCGCCGTAAATAAATAAATAAGTAATAAGTATCCTCAGAGGTAGTGAGGTCTGTTGGAAATAGGAAAAAGGGTTTATATATCTGTGGAATGACCAGGGTGAGACAAAGGACTTTTGTCAGTTGGGCTAGGTGTGAATATTTCAACTGACCACCTTGATTAGCATACAATGGGCTGACTGTGCCTGGAGCAAACTCTTCTTGAAAGGTAATTAGATGTCCCTGCCTGTTTCCTCTCTGCTGTTTTTGCTGTTGCAATTTTAGATTTTTTTTTAATACTGGTAGCCAGATCTTGTTCATTTTCATGGTTTCCTCCTTTCTGTTGAAATTGTCCACATGTTTGTGTATTTCAATGGCTTCTCTGTGTAGTCTGACATGGTGGTTGTGAGAGTGGTCCAGCATTTTTGTGTTCTCAAATAAAATGCTGTGTCCAGGTTGGTTCATCAGGTGCTCTGCTATGGCTGATTTCTCTGGTTGGAGCAGTCTGCAGTGCCTTTCATGTTCCTTGATGCGTGTCTGGGCGCTGCGTTTGGTGGTCCCTATGTAGACTTGTCCACAGCTGCATGGTATCCGGTAGACTCCTGCAGAGGTGAGAGGATCCCTCTTGTCCTTTGCTGAACGTAGCATTTGTTGGATTTTCTTGGTGGGTCTGTAGGAGGTTTGTATGTTGTGTTTCCTCATCAGCTTCCCTATGCGGTCAGTGGTTCCCTTGATGAATGGCAAGAACACTTTTCCAAAGGGAGAAAGATTGCATTCAAGTGCCTATAAGAGTTTGTCTTATTAAGGCACCATTTTCAATGTATACAAGGCTGTATAGGCCTGTTGTTGTTGTTCATTCATCAGTCGTTTACAACTCTTCATGACCTCATGGACCAGCCTACGCCAGAGGTCCCTGTCGGCCATCACCACCCCCAGCTCCTTCAAGGTCAATCCAGTCACTTCAAGGATGCCATCCATCCATCTTGCCCTTGGTCGGCCCCTCTTCCTTTTGCCTTCCACTTTCCCCAGCATAATTGTCTTCTCTAAGCTTTCCTGTCTCCTCATGATGTGGCCAAAGTACTTCAACTTTGTCTCTAGTATCTTTCCCTCCAGTGAGCAGTCGGGCTTTATTTCCTGGAGGATGGACTGGTTGGATCTTCTCGCAGTCCAAGGCACTCTCAGAACTTTCCTCCAACACCACAGCTCAAAAGCATCGATCTTCTTCGCTCAGCCTTCCCTAAGGTCCAGCTCTCACATCCGTAGGTTACTACAGGGAATACCATGGCTTTGACTAGGCGGATCTTTGTTGCCAGTCTGATGTCTCTACTCTTCACTATTTTATCGAGACTGGACATTGCTCTCCTTCCAAGAAGTAAGCGTCTCCTGATTTCCTGGCTGCAGTCTGCATCTGCAGTAATCTTTGCACCTAGAAATACAAAGTCTGTCACGGCCTCCACGTTTTCTCCCTCTATTTTCCAGTTGTCAATCATTCTTGTTGCCATAATCTTGGTTTTTTTTAATGTTTAGCTGCAACCCAGCTTTTGCGCTTTCTTCTTTCACCTTGATTAGAAGGCTCCTCAGCTCCTCCTCACTTTCGGCCATCAGAGTGGTGTCATCTGCATATCTGAGGTTGTTAATGTTTCTTCCAGCAATTTTCACCCCAGCTTTGCATTCATCAAGCCCCGCACATCGCATGATGTGTTCTGCATACACGTTAAAAAGGTTGGGTGAGAGTATGCAGCCTTGCCGTACGCCTTTCCCAATCTTGAACCAGTCTGTTGTTCCGTGGTCAGTTCTGACTGTTGCTACTTGGTCCTTGTACAGATTCCTGTAGAGCCCAGTTAAGGTTGTTCAGTTCATCTTCAGTATTTCTTGTTGTTTCTTTGTCAGTGTTGACGTGGAGATTGTCTGCTTTGCCTACTCTGGAACATGCAACATATCATTGCCCTTCTTTAGGGGTCCCTTTCAAATCTATGATACCATATCTGTGTTTGTGTGTGAATCATATATGTCTATATTTATGACTGGATGGCTCATTGTCAGGAGGGCTTTGATTACATTTTCCTGCCCTGGTGAAGAGAGTTGGACTGGGTGGCCTTAAGTATTTTCTGTTGGTTGTGGGGGTTCTGTGTGGGAGGTTTGCCCCAATTCTATCGTTGGTGGGGTTCAGAATGCTCTTTGATTGTAGTGAACTATAAATCCCAGTAACTACAAATCCCAAATGTCAAGGTCTATTTCCTCCAAACTCCATCTGTGTTCATATTTAGGGATATGGAATTTTTGTGTCAAGTTTGGTCCAGATCCATCATTGTTTGAGTCCACAGTGCTCTCTGGATGTAGATGTACTACAACTCCCAAACTCAAGGTCAATGCCCACCAAACCTTTCCAGGGTGTTCTGTTGGTCATGGAAGTCCTGTATGCCATGTTTGGTTGAATTCCATCATTGGTGGAGTTCAGAATGCTCTTTGATTGTAGGTGAACTATAAATCCCAGTAACTACAACTCCCAAATGTCAAGGTCTATTTTCCCCCAACTCCATCTGTTTTCATATTTGGGCATATGGAATATTCGTGCCAAGTTTGGTCCAGATCCATCATTGTTTGAGTCTACAGTGCTCTCTGGATGTAGGTGTACTACAACTCCCAAACTCAAGGTCAATGCCCACCAAACCCTTCTAGTGTTTTCTGTTGGTCATGGGAGTCCTGTGTGCCATGTTTAGTTCAATTCCATCGTTGATGGAGTTTAGAATGCTCTTTGATATTAAGTGAACTATAAATATCAGCAACTACAACTCCCAAAAGACAAAATCTATTTTTTTTTTAGTGAAGGACATATATTGGGTTATTAGGTGTCTTGTGTCCAAATTTGGTATCAATTCGTCCAGTGGTTTCTGAGTTCTGTTAATCCCACAAACAAACATTACATTTTTATTATATAAATGAATGAATTACAGCCAAGAATTAGGATCCATGATGTTCTGTAAGTGTGTTTTCAGCATATGAGGTGGTGTAAATTACATGGTCTTTTGGGAGTGAGAGAGTACTTGGAATATTGGAAGGGAATGATAATTGGCTGAGATTGTTGTAAGTTTTTCGGGCTGTATGGCCATGTTACAGAAGCATTCTCTCCTGACGTTTTGCCTGCATCTGGCAAGCATCCTCAGAGGTTGTGAGGTTTGTTGGAAACTAGGAAAACAATCTCGATAAAAGAGAGAGACATTATTATTATTATTATTATTATTATTATTATTATTATTTAATACATTTATGTACCACTTTTCTCCTCCTAAGAGAACTGAAAGTGGTTTTCAACACTATAAGGCAAAATTCAATGCTGTACATGCATATGAAAAGCAAAAAGTAATAGCAAGACAATAACAGAATTATAAAACAACCCAACCCAATTAAAACATAAAATAACATTTAGACATCACACTGGCAACGAAGATCCGCATAGTTAAAGCAATGGTATTTCCCATAGTCACCCATGGATGTGTGAACTGGACCATAAGGAAGACTGAGTGAAGGAAGATAGATGCTTTTGAACTGTGGTGCTGGAGGAAAATTCTGAGAGTACCTTGGACCCAGAAGATCCAACTTCAGGAAATAAAACCTGACTGCTCATTGGAGGGAAGGATGTTAGAGGCAAAGATGAAGTACTTTGGCCACATAATGAGCAAACAGGAAAGCTTAAAGATGCTTGGGGAAATGGAAGGAAAAAGGAAGAGGGGCCGAACAAGGGCAAGTTGGATGGATGGGATCCTTGAAGTGACTGGCTTGACTCTGAAGGAGCTGGGGGTTCTAACGTGGGCTGGTCCATGAGGTCACGAAGAGTCGGAAGTGACTGAACAAATAAATAACAACAAGTAAAACATGGCCATGCAGCCCGAAAAACTTACAACAACCCAGTGATTCTGGCTATAACAGCCTTTGACAATAAATTGGCTGAGAATCTTTGAAAACTAGTGGCTGGCAGCTGAGAGTATGAGTTGCAGGTGGACTGTGTTTGTTGTATGGTGTAGAAAGTAGAAAGCAGTATAAGCATTGGGTTTGTTTGTTTAGATGGAGAGGATGCTGGTTAGGCAAGTGGCTTGTATGAGCAGCAGTAACATGCAAGAAAATGCTTCTCTGCAATCATATGCTTTTGTGCACTGAATAATTTCAATACTTTTTGCACTGCTATTAATAATAACATGGGTTTTTCATTCTTATTTATTTATTTACTTCACTACAACCAGTATTGGCAGATACAAATATATTTAGATATATTTGTATCTATGGTAGAAATCATACAGCTGTTGTTGCATCACTTCTGTCCTCCTCATCCCTGTTCAGGACCTGCCTATCTTTGTGGCTGCATCCTCCCCTATGAGCCCACATAGTCCTTAATATCTTCCGGAGATGCTCTTCTATCGCTCCCGCCACCATCTCTAGTTGGTGGGAATGAGGGAAAAAGCATTCTCAGTGGTGGCCCCTCGTTCCTGGATATATTAGGCTGGCACCCTCCCTATCCACATTCTGTAAGGATTTGAAGACATGGATGTTTTGTTGTGCATTTGATTGACGATTCCTTGATAGATGGTCCCTAACCATGATCTGAACTCAAGTTCCTATATTTGATTACTACATTTTAAAGTTAAGCTGAAATGATCCTGTTATAATTGCTCTATTCCTATGCTACTATTTGTTCTATCCACTTTTTGACCAGACTATCCTCTAACTTGTTTGCATATTGGTCCCCTTCTCCCTCAAAAAATGAGACTAGAGGTATCTGTGTTGTTGCTTATGATGTTTGGTTATAATTGTTTATGATGATGCTGTTCTTATGTTGTTTTAATATTTTACTGTTTTGTTTTTAATTGTATGTTGCCTTGGGCTTGGCCCCATGTAAGCTGCCCGAGTCCCTTTGGGGAGATGGAGGCGGGGTAGAAAAATAAACAACTTCTCCTCCTCCTCCTCCTCCTCCTCCTTCTAGTGCAGTGATTCCCAACCTTTTTTTTGACCAGGGACCACTCGACCAGGGACCACTCTCCAACATTAGTACTAAAAGGGTTGCTAACTTTAATTCGATTTGGGATGCTGATTCAGAAAATTGCATTGTCTAGACCACATCAGCTTTGGTTTCTGATACAGAACATATGCTATGGTCAGCGACAGGGAAGAAGTGTCAGGCAGTGTAAAAGGAGCGAAAGTTAAATAAATAAATAAATAGGAGGGCCAACAGGAATCAAATTCATAACAATTTCTAATAACGATCAAGTGTTCCATGGAAAGTGAGAGTAGTCCTGAGATTTATATCCCATTACCACATAAAGTGGCTATGTTGGCGCAGCAGGTTAAACTGCTAAGCTGCAGAACTTGCTGATTGGAAGGTCAGTCGTTTGAATCTGAGGATGGCGTGAGCTCCTGTTGTTAGCCCCAGCTTCTGCCAACCTAACAGTTTGAAAACATGCAAATGTGAATAGATCAATAGCTATAGCTCTGGCGGAAAGGTAACGAAGCTTCATGAAGTCATGCCGGCCATATGACCCAGTGGTTCTCAACCAGTAGGTCTCCAGATGTTTTGGCCTTCAACTTCCAGAAATCCTATCAGCTGGTAAACTTCCAGAAATCCTATCAGCTGGCTGGGATTTCTGGGAGTTGTAGGCCAAAACACCTGGAGACCCACAGTTTGAGAACCACTGAGATGTCTACAGACAATGCCGGCTCTTCAGCTTAGAAATGGAAATGAGCACTGGTGATCAACGGACCACAGGTTGGGAACCACTGCATTAGAAAGATCTATCTGCCACAGGTAGTTAAAAACCAAAGGTCTGCCTAAATGAAAATAATTTTGCTTGCTGTTGGAAAGAGATTAGATAGGGCCAGTTGAACCTTCCATGAGAGGAATTTGTACAAGTTTAGAACAGCCACTGAGAAGGGTCTTTCCCCATATCCTTGCCAAATCTGTCTATGATAGTGGCCAAAGAAAAAAACCTTTCCCCAAATTGCTTGAAAGTTAGGCAGGCTCATAGAAAGACATACGGTTTTTCCAATAGTCTGGACTCGAGATGTATAGGAAGTGACCAGCACTTTGAACTTTGCCTAGAAACAAATCAATATCTAGTGAAGGTATTGCAATATGAGAGTAATGTTTTACCTGTAATCAGCTCTGGTCAAAAATTTGGTTGACCACAGCATTTTGGACTTGCAGTTTCCGAACAATTTCCAAAGGCAACCTTGCACAGAGTGTCTTACAATATTCCAAATGGGGTGTAATCAAGGAATGTGTCACCATAACCAGATCTGGCCTCCATGAAGGTGCACTACTGTTCTCTGCTGAAACCTGAGCATTCAGGCTCTGATCTCTGAGTCCCGAAGTACATCCAAGTTGTGAACTTTAGGTTTCTGGTAGAGTGAAACTTCATTTATCACAGGTTGAATCCCTATTCCCTAATCTGCCTTCTGATTTACTGGGAGCACATCTGTTTTGTCTGGTTTAAGGGTCGGTTTGTTGGCTCCCACCCAATCCACTACTAACTGCAAACAGAGGTTCATCTTCCTTGAGGTTTATAAAGTTGGAGATATAAAGTTGGGTGTCATTAGCATACTGGTGGCATTCAACCTCAAAACTCTGGATAAGCTCTCCACAATTTTATAGAAATATTAAATAACATATGGGACAGTCTTAATAGGAAGTAGTTGAACAAGAACCCCCATAATCATTTCTGAGTTCTCCCCTCAGTTGCAAAACAGTGGTTCCAACTTCCATCCCACAGAAGCAACTCAGAAGGATATCATCTTATTGAAAACTGCTGATGAGCTTGGCAGAACAAATAGGGACAAATTTCTCCAGTCCAATGCCCTGCATTAGTCATCAAGATTCATCAAGATTATCAAAACAATTTCTGTCCTATAACCAGACCAGAAGCCAGATTGAAATGTACCGGTAATCTGTCTCATTCTGGAATCCCTGGAACCTAGAGGCCTATAAGTTTGCCCAAGAAAAGGATATTGGAGACTGACCAGTCATTCTCCAAGATGGTAGGGTCTTTTTTCCCCAGTAAAGGTCTTACCAGACCTCTTTAAAGCAGGCTGTGGCGCTGCCTCGCCATAGTGAGGAAATTAGCTATGCCTCTTACCCAATCATCTAACCCCCTCTGGCTACTTTTATGAACCAGGAAGGACATGGTCCAGCAGTGGCATCACTAAGGTTGGTGTCACCCAGTAGGTCACTTGTGGTGTCACGCCTTGGACCTCAGTCATATGCTGGTAAAAAAAATCTTTACAAGACACTTAAAAAAACAGAATTACTTATTTGACAACATAATCTTTAATGGGCTTACTAAGAGGTTTGCACAATCAAGGGGATCCAAGCCCTATCGGATAAGTCCTTTTTGTCTCTGTTGTTGTTGAAGAGTTGCTACATCCATCTCTAAATGAAAAATTGTCTGAAACCAGTCTGAAATAATATATCTGTATGTGTGTGTGTACGTTGGCCACCAATAGATTCTTGGTGTCACATGTTATATTTAATTTTTTTAGGTCTCTGAAGTACACTGGAACTTCTCTTTTCCATAGAAGAGAATAAAAGTATGCTGTTGTTTCTTCAAAAGATGTGTTGGCTTAATTTCCATCATTAAGTTAGAGATTAAATTATCTGCTGTGTGTTCTGGATGTAAGGTCCACCCAGGTCACAGCAGCACAGTTACATAGGGATGGAAGGACCAACTGAATTCCTCCACAAATCAGAGGGCAGCTCTAATCACATGAAATTAGGTAGTCCCATTGGCCCCCAATATGTGACGGGGGAGATGGCAACATATAAGCAGGTTAACACCCTGTCCCTCCTTTGCTTGACCACTCCTTCTGCCCTCACTGCATAATGGGCCGGATAGGAAACACCTTCCCCTTTAGCAAGGGTTTTTTCACCTACATGCACTGCATCTTGATGGAATGGGAAAATGGGCTTTGGGTGGTGTCCTAAATAAGTCTATCCCTCTCAATGGCAGATAATGATTTGTGGGGGCGAAATTTAGTTGGTACCTTGGCACCTCTCTCCTTTTTGGTTGGATTACCCCTGGAATGACCTCACTAGGTTCTGAGACTTGTGGGAAGGTTGGGAAAGAGATCACTCTTAGGGTTGGCTGGGACAACAACAACTTACTCTCCATTATAAAAACACATGCTTTAAGGAAAGGGATCCTGGGCTGGCCTTCCAGAATATGAACCGAAAAGGGCATCCTATTGGACTGTCCCTCGAGATGAGGAAGTTGTCACAGAAGTGATACCTGTCCCTCGGCCAAGACTCACATCAAGTTGCTCTCCATCTTAAAGAATAATCTCCAGAACAAATAAACTAAAAAGTTTAGGTTCATGAAATTGCCTTATTTCAGTCCAACTTTTGTGCTTGCGCCCTGTTATTTAGCTGTTGGTATTCAGTTACCACTTCCACTCACCCAAATAAATGCACCAATTTTGATATAATTGAAAGTTGGGGATCATTTTTTCTTGTGCATCAGTCAAGCCAGGTCTTTTCCACTGTTCCATATTTTATCTCAAAATCCCAAGAACTAATATGTTTATGGATAGAAAAGTTTTGGGGAAATTGTACTTTATTTGGAATTTTTGTCACAGTACATTCAGTTTTAAAAGTGCTTGTCCCTTTGAAAATGAGAAGGACTGTATCAGAAATAGTAAAGAAAGCTCCTGTTGCACTTGCAGGGTTTTTAAAAAAATCATATTAGCATCACTACTTTGCATGGTGACCAAAGTAGTAGAGTATCCAAAGATATTAATGTTCTCCCACTTTTCATTCCTCCGCCCCCACAGTGCTTGAAAATATTTTGAGAAACAAAGAATGTAAACCCACTCACATTTGGTATTGAGGGCATTTTTCAAAAGCATTGATTTGGTGTCTAGATGTGTATGTATGTGCAACTTCATGCATTACCACAGGGTTTTCTTAGGGAAGGAATAACCTGAGGTGGTTTTCCAATTCCTTCCTCTGAAATAGAGCCTATACACACGGTATTTATTGGCAGTCTCTCACCCAAGTACTAATCAGTGGTGACCCTAGTTAGCTTCTAAGATCAGACAGATCCGGTGCCTTTAGATACCAACTCTTAAAAATGGCATAGCTCTGCATTTGATTTGTTATGTCTCTCACCAGCTCAAGTTTCCTTTGAATGGCCACAAAGGCTGATGTGTTGCTGATGCAGTAAGAGGCATTCTTCTTTAGACCAGAGGAAAGACCAGTTTGGGTTTTCTTTGCAATGTAAGTATTTTACAAAATAGAATTGAGACCTTTTATTTCCAACAGCTTAGAACAGAATATAATAAGAATGTAATGTTTGCAAAATATATTGTTCCTGTAATGTTTATGCAAAAACTGTAGTATACTTGGGACAGGAGCAGGGATGAAGTTACTCTAATTAGTCACATGAATAGGAGTTCCAAATTGAACTACATCTACTGTTTTCCTTTCCAGATAGCTTAGGGTGTTAGTTTTGAATGAAAGGTACTGACTGTGGCTCCATGAAGGAAAAATAAAACAAAATAGTTAAAGCCAGAATTTTAGAGCTGACAAAGCATTTTGTCACATAAAATCACTAATTCAGAGGAAAACAGGAAAAAAGCATTACTAGCAATCAGTATGTGCAGAGGAAACAGTTTACTGGATGGTGTTGAGCATCTTAATTCTGGGGTTTTTTCCTTGGCTATTTGTGATTTGAAAATGTTGGTTCTGTCCTAGGAGCTTGGTTACTGTTGGCTCATAAACACAGCAGAGCATTCCATTAGCTTATGGGTTATTATGATTCAGTGTGGGTGGCACCATTTGATGCCTGAATCATTTCGGCTGCAACTGCCATTAAGCTGGCTTACTTTTATGGGCAAGAAAATAACCTTTTCTTTTACTGTTCAGAAATGTACATTTGGTCTAATGTGCACTTATAGGAAGCAAGCCAAGTGTGCTTAGATCCATAAAGTATTTACTTGATTCATGAATTAATGAATACATGAATTCTGATACAAATACATGAATTCTGATACAAAGTTTATGTAAGTTGTTGCAAATATAAGTTCTTAAATTAAAGAGTATTTCTCATATATTCTTTTTTTAAAAAAATTTAAAGATGCCATAGCTAATTGCAACATTTTATTAGTTTGGTAAGCTACCATAGGATGTCAAATGGTCAAAAAAAATCAAGCCTTATCAGTTAAACAAGTCTCTGGGGGGATTAAAATGAAGTAAATAATAACAATTAATAAAATACATTATTTTTATTTTAAAGTAGGAAATATCCTGAACAGCAGAGTTCTTGTACTAAATAAGTTAACTAAACTGTTTCCAAGTAACACTTCACTTTTTAATTTTTAATTGGACCCAGTATCAAAGCTTTCACTAGAGCATTCATTTGGACACATGGACAGATGCTTCCCGTAACAACAAAGATGGAATGAAACTTGTTCTAAAGCAGTGACTTTTGCCACTGATGTTCAGTTGTATTTTTATCTTAGATGAGCTGGAGATTGTCAGGCAGAATGTATTGTACTGCTAGTTTTTGCCCTGACAACACTTGGTGGTGATGGTTAATTTATAGTGTGTGTGTGTGTGTGTAAGAGAGGGAAGGAGTTCAGGCACCACTCCTACCTATGCTAATGAAGTACGTGATGCAGCAATACAAAAGGTATCCCTCAGGAAATTTGAACAGGCAGTTCCCACTGCAAGAAATTTAACCAGATTTCACAAAGTTATATAATGTATAATAAATAAGCCTCCTGTTGTTGCTTTATGACAGCCACCTACTCTGAAAAAGGCTGCTGATCAGAGTTAAAATAAAAATGCTAACTGAAAATGCTGTATCACATCACTGTGTCTATAAGCATTGAGCATATCAACTTTTAAAAGCAGAAAAGCTGACACAAGAATTGAATGTGTGTTCCTCAATTCCAGGGAGTGGACTAGATGGCCCTTGTGGTCTTGTCTAACAAATGTAACATATGTGGCTAAAAAACAGTGCCTAAGATTGTCATGGGGTGGGGGGGAGACCTACTGATGTTTGCATATGGTAAATCAAAAATCACTATAAATCAACCATCACCACCAAAAAGTTGGAACACTTTAGTTCTAAAGAACTCACAGTGTAATTTGGGGAGGGGGGTGGAGGATTAAAAGTTTAATTCTGAGGGACACACAGTCTTTCCAACAAGGCGATCTTTCTAATAGAAATACATAGTGATCCAGTTGTGCTTGACCAAAAAAAAAAAACCCATTTAAATCTACTGGCTTGATACCTTGACACTGTGTGGCTTTAATATTAGAGAAGAATACCATTCTTACATTCAGTACCATGCTCTGAATTCCAAACCTAGGCCCTGCAAATTGGGTAACTGCCACTAGATTCTATTTATCACTCGCATTTCAACAGACATTACTGAGAAAGTAGAAGCCAAAATCTACATGCAATGTTTCAAATCACTGAATTAAATCTACTTCAGACAGTTTCTACCTGATAACTTGGGTTTTTTTCAATACCAAGTCACTTTTCCTGAGTCCTAGAAGGAAGGAAAACTGAGATGTAGTAAGGAAAACTGAGATATAAATTAAATAAATAATTTGTTTCTTATTTGCTGTGATGGTCTCCTGAATAACATAGCTACTGGTATATCTATAAGACTAAATATTTGTATAGTTATGTGGTTTTGAGTATAAGGAAATAAGGTTTATGTTTTGCTTTTTTTTAGAAAATACATTCCTGCCAGTGTCTACCATCGACTAAGATTTTGTCCAAAACATTATCATCAGTAAATGTAAATGTCAGACCCCAAATGGTAAGTACTGTTGCCCTTTAACAGCTTTTAATTAGTAGAAATATAAAGAATAGCAGTTCTGTATTCAGAGCTACAAATGTTCAGACACCTTTTCATAGGTTTCTTCATTATGGAAAGATATTGATGGACTTGTGTATTTTCTGGGGATAAATAATTGCCATACATTAATGTGTTGTGCTGCATGCCAGTACATAAGGGCTTCTGAAGCAAACATCAGAATTGGTACTTTATGAAATACACATTTCTCAATATGCTCTATAGAAAAATTTATTTCAAATCACCAGTACAAGTACTGTTCCAAATACATGCAATTTTGTAATAGAACTTCTTTGTGCAGCTGTACTAATTGGTTAAACTAAGAAACAGTTGCACAATGTTTCCTGTTTTCCTCTTGCAATAGCTTCTTTGCTTAGCATCAACACATTCCCACTGTATACTTGATTTTTGGTAAAAAATCACATTTCTGATAAATGCAGGTAATTGGTTTGTATCCAACAGTAGTAGAAGAACAAAATAATAATACACAGATATTTTACCATGCCTATTTTATCCAATTAACACTTATTCTATATGTTACACAAGAGAGCCATAAAAAGATGTATATGCACACTGATTTTTGATCTAGTAGCAGAAAAAAAAACTTTATTTTTGTAATGGAAACAACTGGCCTCTACCATTTTTAGCATGCACACGCACACACACACCCTTGCATTTTGCATCCGTAGATTTAGCCAACCATGGCTCAAAAATATTGAGAAAAAATCCCCAAAACAAACTTTATTTTTTGCCACCAGGCATTAACAGTGATGTGTAGCCGTACCTTGCTGTAGCCTCCTGCCATTTCACATATCTTCAGGCTCTCTTTGGTACATGTTTGAGTTCTTCATCATTTTATATAAGGATACATAGTGTATATACTGTTATATACCAAAGTCTGTGGATGCTCAAGTCCCATTATATACAATGGAATACAGAGTACTTCAAAATAATGGCCCCAATTTCAAAACAGCGCAGTTCACAATGGCAATATGTTACAATTATGCAAACAGTTACCAAAAGTTTAAAGAGTAACCAACTTATCAAGATTTACTGACCATTTTATAAAAACACTATGCGCCCTCCACCTGCTTTATGGACAATATTGGGACAATAGTGGAACACAAAATGCCTTATGACTGAGGCTATGTTCTGTTTGTATACTGGGAGAGTAATCTTGCAGTAATAATTTGAAAAACTATACCTTTCAAGTGGTAAGAGTTTCATTCATGAGCAGCTTGTGTTTGTAGTGATAGTGATTTCAAATTGGGTCCGTCAAGTCCATCCTGTATAATGGGACTTGAGCATCCACAGGTTTTGGTATAAACGGGGCTGGGATGGGATGGGGGGCTTCTGGAGCCAAATCTCATTGATTGCCCCTTGTAGCAGTCTTTGGGTACATGATGCAACCACCTAAATGAATTCCAATGTAGAGATATTTTATAACATAAATTAAATAAATATAATTATATCAAAAGTTATTGTTTACAATGCAGGGTCTTGTATGTAGTCCAACAGTATGAAGTCTTGATTGAGAGAATGGTCAGGTCTGAATTTCCCCCTTTCTGTGGTTGCTCTGATTTTATACAAGTACACTGTGCTTTAAAATATGCTGTGTTCTCTCCTCCCTTCCCTTCCCCAGCACCACCTATGCTTCCTAGACATATTTCTCTCTTAGGGTGGCTGAGTGCACCTTTTTCATCCTTCCAATGCCTAGTTGAGGTTAAAATTGGATCTCCAGTAAAAAATATTCTCGGATCACCCCAACAACTGTCCCTTCTCTCAGTCCAACCAGGCACGATTGGAGGGGATGCCAGAGAGGGCCTTTTCAGTGGCTGCCCCTGGAACCTTCTCCTTAGTGAAGCCAGAATAGCACCCTCCCTGTTGTCCTTTCAGCAGCAGGCTAACATCTTTTCATTCCTGCAAACTTTTAAAGAAGAAAGCTTTTAAGTACGAGCTGGGAGATGCTGTGTGGTCTTTTAAGTATTTTAATAGTTTTTAATAATTTTGTGTGCATTTAACTATTTTTTTATTATATTTATTTCTATCCTGCTTTATCTCCCCCCAAGGGTACTCAAAGCAGCTTAACATAAAAGCATCTGCAAAACCATTTAAAATATACAGATATGCGAACATTAAAACAGGATTAAATATAAACAGTATTTTTAAATTCCCAGTTAAAAACTATTAAAATAAATTCAAAGTCAAAAACCACAGCACCCCTGAATTGATCTTAAAAACCTTCATATTTAAAAGCCTTCCTGAATAAAAAGGTTTTAGTCTGTTGCCAGAAGGACAGCAGGGTTCTCTGGGGAGGGGTTTCCAGAGTCAAGGGGTAGCCACGGAAAAGGTCCACTCTCTTGTACCCACCAATCATGCTTGAGATGGTGGTGGGACCAAGAAAAGGGCCTCTCCTGAAGATTTCAGGGCTCAGGCAGGTTCATACAAGGATATGCATTGAAGACGCAGGTTCGCAGGTCACTCTCTGGAATGGGGAGATGACTAGGGCAATTGACACGATCGCTCCAGAACGTCCCCTCTCAAGTAGNGGAAGGAAGGAAGGAAGGAAGGAAGGAAGGAAGGAAGGAAGGAAGGAAGGAAGGAAGGGGAATATCTATATATAGAGATATGTACAGATATATACCCACACAAAGAGAATAGGAAGAGGGCAGGGAAAAGGGCGAGAAGAAAGGAAGAAGTGTGTGTATAATGCTCTGTTCGTTTTGAGTGACATCATAACTCAAAATCCGCTGGACAACTGGCCACCAAATTTGGCCACAAGACACCTGCTAACCCAAGGAGTGACCATCACTAAAAAAAATTGAATTTGTCATTTGGGAATTGTAGTTGCTGGGATTTATAGTTAACTACAATCAAAGAGCATTCTGAACTCCACCAATGATGGAATTGAACCAAATTTGGTACACAGGACCAAATACAAAATACTGAAAGGGTTTGGTGGGCATTTACCTTGAGTTTGGGAGCTGTAGTTAACCTACATCCAGAGAGCACTTTGGACTCAAAGAATGATGCATTTGGACCGAACTTGGCACAAATACCCAATATGCCCAAATGTGAACACTGGTGGAGTTTGGGGGAAAATAGACCTTGACATATGCGAGTTGTAGTTACTGGGATGTATAGTTCACCTACAATCAAAGACCATTCTGAACTCCACCAATGATGGAATTGAACCAAATATGGCACACAGAACTCCCACGACAAACAGAAAATATTGGAAGGGTTTGGTGGGCATTGACCTTGAGTTTTGGAGTTGTAGTTCACCTACACCCAGAGAGCACTGTGGATTCAAACAAAGAAGGATTTAGACCAAACTTGGCACAAATACTCCATGTGCCCAAATATGAACACAGATGGAGTTTGGGAAAACAGACCTTGACATTTGGGAGTTGTAGTTACTGGGAGTTATAGTTCACTTACAATCAAACATTCTGAACCCCACCAACGATAGAATTGGGCCCAACTTCCCACATTGAATCCCCCATGACCAACAGAAAACACTGTTTTCCGGTGGTCTTTGGCGACCCTTCTGACACCCCCTCCCGACCCCCAGGTTGAGAAATGCTGCCATCCAGACCAACTCCCTTCAGCAGGGCAAGAAAACATAATCAAAGCCCTCCTGACAAAGAGCCATCCAGCCATAGATCTAGAGGGTCGATCTCAGAAGGTGTTGTTGGGGGACACCTGTTCAACCCCACAACCATTGTCTTGTGGGGTTCCTCAGGGCTCAATATTGTCTCCCATGTTGTTTAACATCTACATGAAGCCGCTGGGGGAGATCATCCGGAGTTTCGGGGTACGGTGTCATCTGTACGCGGATGATGTCCAACTCTGTCACTCCTTTCCACCTGCTACTAAGGAGGCTGTCCAGGTCCTGAACCGGTGCTTGGCCGCTGTGACGGTCTGGATGAGGGTGAACAAATTGAAATTGAATTCAGACAAGACAGAGGTACTCCTGGTCAGTCTCAAGGCCGAACAAGGCATCGGGTTACAGCCTGTGTTGGATGGGGCCGCACTCCCCCTGAAGACGCAGGTTCGCAGCTTGGGTGTG